GTGTAGATATAGTTCAGGTTTCATATTACGGCGGTTAACAATATTCGCACATGACTGATTAAACACACTAGTTTTTATTACTATAAATGATTTACAAGTGAAAACAATAAATCGTTTCAATGGACTTTTATAATTAACCGCATTGAAATCTAACCTTTTTCTAATTCTTATTAAGAATGATCATTTACAAAACAACCATTTAATAAATAATCAGTGCATATTACGGAAACATGAGTACTTCTTTGATATACTGTCAAAGTCGTTTCATTAACCCATGGTTTACGGTTGGTTTATGTGTTCAAAAGGAAATAGTCATTAATCTTTCCTTCCCTTGGTGAATAATATTCCTTCGCTGTATCTTAATATTTTTTTTTCTTTTTTCTTTAAAACTCTTTCTTGCACTGATCACATCATTGAGTTTTATCCCTATCAATGTTTACTTGTTTCTGGCCGTTTGAACTGTTGTCACAATGTTCTTTCATCACATAAGTTATATATTTACAATATTCAGTCTATTCAATTTATTCACACTTTCATGTAAGTCATTTAAATTCATTATGTAATTATGACCTTTAAATATCACAGGTTATAAGCAGCTGACGAGAACCAACGAAATAAAAATGAATTCATGCTATTCTGTTAGAAAGTTTGTTCTTGCTCTTTTCAAAATGATCTATAGGTCAAAATAAAGTTTATAATAAGAGGAATATAGATAAACATAATCTAGTTAGTGAACAGTTATACAATATATATAATATTAGTCCATTAATAGTTCTCAGAAGTTACCCGTAGTTTAATCTTTAGTAGGATATAAAAATATAGATATTGGTCAAGTGGAATTTTCCTTTTTAAGCATCCATTATAGGGTTCAAATCGAACTGGGGATATCAATTCCTGCAAAATCACAGGTTTGGATTTCTGACGAGTACCAAACCTCATGAAACCTAGCTCCAGTTTTCTGTTGAATACCTCCAACCACCTTGGGTATGCAGAAAAACAATGTAAATACATTTGTAAAATGCGATCGATAGACAAACTCACTAATAGTAAAGTGAAACGTCCACTACCACACTAACTTCCTTGACCTTGTATGATTGTATCTTATTTATTCAACTAATCACAATTTGATGTTCATTATAAAACAATATTAGCTTTGTTGACTCATTTTTCCTATTCTCTAGCTACTGTTCGAAACAGATCAAATTTATCAAGCCAAATAGCTTAGTTGTTCTGACTTTGGTTGAACCAAGATTCTGTGTTCGACAGTCTAGGGAATAGCTTAGAGTTGAACCTGTAGGAAATTGCTTCCTACAACATTTTAATTTTGCTTCTCATCCATACAGGCTAATTAAGTTTAACTTCCTATTTCTATATCACCGATTTATTTTGAATGTAGTTTCAATATAAATTTCTTGCGCCTGCTTTCGAATAGAGAATATAATTCAAGCAAAAATGTTATTTTCGCAAGAAAAGTAATTGATTTGGTGATTTCCGATAGGTATCTTACACAACGATTATCAATATTTTTGTATGACGCGTTTCTATATTGAATTCTTCAGCGAAATAACCAATTACTTTTGGTAATAAACGTTAAGATATGTTATTACGTTGACCTTGACACTCGTATTCTTTACTCATGAAGTAAATCGAGGAACAGTTCTCTATTTAATGGTATTGTTTTCTTTAAGTTGGACGGTTTTCTTATTGTTCTGTGGAACATCATCAGCATTCACTTCAAGTAAAACAGACAATGACAGCTTCCCGACTGGATTGTAAAAATGGTAGGATGAAACACTATCAAAGTAATTTACCTGAGCTATAAATTTCTATTATTCTAATAGTTTTATGTATGTTCTTCATATGTTCATATTCACATTCAAACTCGTACTTAGATTGAACTACAGTAGTATAAATAACCAAATTTGATGTTTTTTTCGCACGTACCAGTAAAAATACATTTTACATTATCTCATTCAATTTACTAGCATTATCTTGTTATACGCTCTGCACTTCATTTGTAACCATTTTTTTTTCATAAATTATAACAATCGGTAAGCATCGTGATCAGTGAAACTCAGCAAATGAATCAATAAAATTTATTGAACAGCTATGGGATTCACTTAAACTCTCGATTTAACTGTAACCAGTGATAACAGAAATCACACTAAATGAGAACATTTAAATGAAATTACATAAAATCAATTGATTAGCGCGATATAGATTGAACTAAGCATGTTTCGTACAGGATTGTTCTGGAGCACACTGACTGGTCATTTCTTAGAGGAATATTGCGGAATAGTCTAGAATCTTATGTAAAAATCATAAACATACTAGCGTTTTTCTAATTGTGATTTCTACTTTCATTGAACCTTGTTTATTTGGAATATAATTATGTATCCTGTCCAACCGTGTTCTGATTTGGAAATTTGTCGAGCGAATTGAGTGGCCCAGAATACTAAGCAATAAGAGTAGTTAAGCTGTAATAAGAAAATTCATAACACAATATTCAGTGGGAAATTTAGCTTTGAACTTCAGTTGCAGAGATTAATTTGTAGATAATAATCGTGACAGATATCCTAGTTTTGATAGTTTACAAAGTTTCGGGTGTTGATTGATGAAGAAACCTAGTTAAGTATACAGTTTATGCTTATGTATGATGACTGATTATAAGTCAAGATACATAAGAAATCATAAGGCAATCCCACAAGTGTAAAATCATCGAGACTATCCATTACAGCAGAATTACAACGACGGTCAGTACCAAAAGAACTTTTGTCATGTTTTCGACATGGATTTTGAGGGATAATCACAACATATTTCCTATTTTTGTCACTGAAATTTTTGCAGATATGGTTCAAAATCTTGGGGAGGTGGTTTTGGATTAGTACATACTACTTTCTCTGGCAACAGAACAGTTTAAGAAGTTATGTGAACAAAACAATATAGAGCATGTGAAATCTTCACATACTACCACCAATTAAATGGTTGAACAGTATTTTTTTGCTGATCCTCTGGAAAGTGCAGTTCAAAAAACGGGAAGAGGAAAGAACAACAGAATAAATTGTACACTCAAACTTGTATCAAGAATAGAAATTTCAATCCGAGTGAAGGTGACATGAATGAGTCATCGAATGATTTATGAGACTAACACTACACCCAGCAAATTGAATATGTACGTAGGTGGTAAGCCATGCTCAATCATACATGCTCATACAAGCGCAACAATAATAAAATTACAATGATATAGATAAGATGTTTTTGTTGTTGTTCGAATGACTGTCTGTTAAATAAGTTAATAGAATGGTTTAACCAAATCCAATGTGAACAAACTCAATGCATGTGAGCTGCTATACGTTCTGTATATTTTGCGTTGTATAAATCCCAAATTTTACTGGTCCTAACTCAGTTTTACAATCATGATGCGTCTGTATCTGATTGATTTTCAAAAGCTTCAAAACTGATATTCCATTCGTGACGAACAACGCTTTTCAGGTGACTAATTACAAAGTAATACTATATTCATGGGATGTAAAAGCTCGCATGAAGTATCGTCTTCTTTCTTCAATCGCAAGTTTTGATTCTCAATACTGTTGTGCTATCTGCCTATTTCGTGGAGATCCTTCTTTGTATTAAAAAAAATCTCTCAATCGTCCACAATTCAGAGTAATCAAAATGAACAAATCGTAATATACATACAACTAGTCGTAATCCACATGAGACCTAGTAGATATATTAAATGTTCCAAGCTGTCACACTTCACACATTAACACTGTGACCCAATTAAATCAACCCGATGACAAGAAAAAATGAAACCAAAACGAAAGTAATAGCAAACAATAAAACATGCAGAATATACTTAGATAAAATGGAAGAATGAATAGTTAAACATAAGATCTAGAAGACAAATACACAAAATTAGGATCAGGAACACCAATTTCGAGTTACACAAAGCCGGAAGAGGCTTCTACCATGTCAAACCTACATAGGCCATCCTAACTTTTGAACAGACCAATTTATTTATTCTTCTCAAGTCACATTTTAACCTTGTCAATTATTCGTTTATTAACCCTGACCGTTTTTTATATGATCGCATGTGTATTAAATGTTCATCCTATTCATTCATTCGTTTCCTTCACTTCGATTCTCTGTTCAAATCAACGTGTACGAAATATACGCAATAAAGATTTATCCTCGTATTTAGCCTATTTTATTCCGTTCTTCTCTAACGCCAGTTAAGTTGATAAAAATATACGAGTGTTGACAGCACGTATATTTCAATAACAAACATACGATTTAACTGGAGTCAGATATAGAGCCACTAACACAATGACTTCTGATCTGGAATTAGATATAGAGCCATTAAAATCAATTGATTATTTCATTAACTTCAACAAGAAAATTTACACTTTCTAACGTCACCAAGATCAACAGTCTATCAAACTTTATAAATTGATATAATGTTTTGATCTAATCAACCCTAATGATCATTACATGTTAAAGTAGATAGTAAATGAGTTCACATAACACATATCTCAGCTAGATTAACTGACGAAACAGGTATAGCAGCATAATATGTAACAAAGATAAAATAATTATCTCCTTAACATAGATTAAATTATACTTTCAACTTCGTATTAGATAGATATAATATATATTACTGGCAATTATAAATTGATATATCTTCTTTATCATAAGGTGTATTTATGGATATTATAGTAATTTCAATAGTTCAAATTATAAGTCAATTAAAGATAGACCATTATAGAAAATCTGTATCAGTATAAGGGTCTTTTATAAATAAAATCTTTATTACAATTTCTTTTATGCTTAATAACAGACTAATCATTAGTAACATTGTTATATTATACAAAACTGACAAAATTACAACGACACAAACTAATACAGTAATAATAGTAACTTACATATTTTGTAAAACTACTATGAGTACATGAATAGTATACTGCATAATAATAATAATAATAATAATAATAAAAAAAGTAGTGATAATAGTAGTAGTGGAAATAATGATCATTAATTCTAAGTTAAACAATAGTTTCTATGAAAATTATTCAGTTTCAATCAGTAAAAACCCTAATGCAAATTCAACTTTCTAATTATATAACTAAAATGATATTCATATTTTAAGGAAAGAAAAATCAATGAAAGTATAAGAGTATGACGGTTAACTACAAAGGTGAATTTGTTTTCATCAATCATGTGTACCAAAAGATTTACTATTATAGAAATCAATTTGTTATTGTAAAACAAGAAAACAAAAAAAAAAAGAGATGGATCCTAGATGTGACCGAATATGAACAAGAATAAAGAAACATCAGGAAGAAAAGATGAAGATTCATTTAATGTCATTAATAATCAATTCAAGATGATCTTTATCAATTCAAGTATTTCTTTTCATTAATTTACTTTATATTGATTAAAAGTTGACAAATTGATTATATTATAAATTAATCAACTAATATCATTACAGAATAAGCAAAGCGGCTTAATTTGGTAGCTAACCAGTTGAGTACAAGTAAGAACCATTGTCTACTTATGATCTCATGAATTCTAGCACAGAAACGTTCATATACACAAAATTGTAGTGATTCAATTGAATTCAATAATTCTTTTCATATCGTTTAAACTGCTAATTAAATTATTCCTACCATTGAAGGTATCACTTAAACATACAAACATATTAGAATTTTAACTTTCTTTAATTTGATATAAAATAAACAACAGAAAATGTAGATATGAATAGTCGCATAGAATTTATTCTACCCTCCTCCTTCATTACATAAAACTATACATTTATGTTATCAGACTAGAAATCACGCTATAATTCTAACATATTCGATTGTTAAACAAAAGAAAAATAACAACAGTAATATCATGATTATTATTCAGTTGAATGTGAAACTTGTTTACTTTTAATTAAAGATAATTTCTTTCTTTTAAAAACAAATAAATAAACAAACAAACAAACAAACAGACAATACGCACACACACATACACACACCCAGATACCATAAACGTTCAACTGTGTTTCAATAAACTGTACACTTTCTTCTTCTTCTTTTTTAAAATAAATAAAATAAACAAAATAGTTCAATTTAAAAAAGAAAAAAAACAATAAAGAGAATAACTGTGAATTTACCCCTTCTCTTTTTTTTTAACATCAGGCTTTTTCTTCCACTTTTTACTAAATAAATAAACAGAAAATGAGAACATTATGGAACAGAAGGGGAGGGGGGAGAACATACACAACGAATAGTTGACATGTATTTCATACATGATTTGTTAACGGTATTGTGTTTTATTGATATGTGATGTGAGAACAGATGTAAAGAAAATAGAGAAGCACAATCTAGAAGAAAAACAAGCACTAATAATTACAAGGAAATGAGAACAACGAAAGAGAAGAAGTAAAAAAAAAAGAGAAGGAACACTACTACCATACATACACACTCACACACTTACATCTATCTGTACAAATCCCGTTTTTCTCAAGAGAAAAGAAAAACAGTAAACGAGATATAAAATACGAAAAAAAAGGAATAAAATAAAATGTGCATCTATCATCTATCTGTGTATAATGATGTGTAAACTATGTACATGTTATAGTGTAATGTTGAATATGCAGTTAAAAAATTATAGAATTTATTATAAAATAAAACAAACAAACAAAAATAGATATTCTATACTCTCTGTTTACGTTGTTGTCCATGAGCTGACATACAATGTCTGGATAAACTTTCATTAGAAATAAATGATACATGACATATAGAACAATAATATTTCGATTTTGACATACTACTATTCACTAGTGATCTATTTTTATTGTTTTTAGAATCAACAGTATTCGATATATTATTATAAATTGAATGATGCTTCAATGGAGAAGTAGTAGTAGTGGTGATACTACTACTATTAGTAGTAGTACTAGTAATATTAACAGGTTTCTTCAGTGAAATATGACTTTTACTATTATTGATGTAATTTGATAAACTAAGTGAACAATTTCCCAATTCTGAACTTAATTTATTCAATTCAGGACAATTTGTTCGTTTTGAATTTGCTAAAATGGAGTAAAGAAAACACAAATAACTAATTATCAAAAAATTAAACAATAATTTGAAAATAAAGTAGATCTTAAAAGTACGTTAGTGCATTCACCCCATATACACCGATACAGTGATTCAATGATTAACGAGTTTAAACTTTTAGCAATTAGGTAGCAGGTTGAAAACATGCTCTTGACCTACCTTAATTTTTGACACACTTGAAGCTAAGTACATTCAACTCTAACTGATGAATAGTTCGAATACAATCGATGAACATGATCAATGATTGGAAACATTGGATGAGATATACGCAAAGATAACATGATGCCTAGCAGTGAAATCCAGGACGCGTGTTTCGTCCTATTTAAGACTCGTCAATTAGATCTTAAAACAATCACTGTAATAATTCTGATAAAATAGGAAACATAATACAATAAAAGTTAAACTTACGACTAGATAATTCAGTTAAAAGATTTGCATCTAACTGCGACTTTTTTAAACGATGCACAGTGGTCATATGACGAAAACATGAAGATCGAATAGTAAATCGTCTATAACAAATGTAACATCTGAAATATGATAACAAAACAATACAAGTAGATTGATGGGATATAGATGAATTATGATTATCAGTGAAATTTAAGAAGCTAGTTTCATTCTATTTTTATAAATTATCAATTAGATGTATTTGCAACATTCGAGGATATTGATATTCACACGCGGATTTGAACACAATGTACTTTTCAATTCAAGAATTCACTGCATTATTTACTGAGCTATTAAGCTCAAATAGGCACTAGATTGTATAATAGGGGTTAGATTTTAATTTATTTTGTATAGACTTTTAATTATCCTGTTTTTGATAATTTTTTTGACCGAATTTTGACCACCTTTTTGTTGGCATACGTGGATGTTGTGCGGATCGCACCGATATAGTCAGTTTGTCGCAAGTTGATATAAAATAGGACGAGACGTCCATCCTGGATCCCACTGATAACCATTATTTATTCCTATAGAAAAATTATGATAAAATGATTGTATCGAGGCGATCTGCACAGGATGATCACATGTTAACTAAGATTGATCAAAAGTCAACCAAAAAAGATTAAAATACAGAAGATGATTCAAACCCTTCACAAGATAAATTAGGAGTAGTTCGAGTTTTCCGTCATCTTACTGAGAACATTTTTTTTTCAAAAAAAGAACGACAATAGATCTCATCGGTGGACATTATCGTTGGTTATTATAAGCACAAATGATGACTAATTATAATACACTTCCACAAAACCACTGTGTGAGATCGAATACAGAAACTGTTTAGTACGTATGGATCAGTCCGAGTTGCCACACTCCATCAGCTCAGAGAGATAGAATTGTCAGTAAGAATGCCAGAGTAGCAACATCAGCCCTTCTACTCTTAATAAAGTAGAAAAACTCACAGTTAATCTAAAACTCCTCTTACGATTTCTCGTTCCTTATAAACTGGAATAAGTCAAAACTAATTAGAATTAATCCTGCAGGATAGCCATTTTTGTCAATCATACATTTGAAGTTTGTACAATGAACAGCAATTAAGAGGCTATAGAGTATTGTATGACCAAGATGATGTTGAAACTTCATCATGAAATATAGATAATACAGCCTGATATCGAATTGTTGAAAAAATCCTATGGTATAGAGGAAATTAAAATTTACCTATAGACTTTAATAGGTCTAACTTCACAGAAAGCTGGTCGATTTGGTTGAGAGATTCGAACACCGTCCCATGCCATTTTAGGATTTCGATGAGATAGACAATGTTCTTCCCATGTATCAGCTGTTTGTTTTTTACCGCAAATTACACAAATTCTATGAGAAGTGAAAATATTTCAGAAAGTAATAGTATGCATAACAGTAATAATAATGGTAATAAGTCATGTTGTTATTCACAGGTATAAACGTTTGTAAAATTATAACTAGTAATTAGTAAGTACACGTTATGATTTTGTGTAGCACGTTATAACTGTTCAAACTGATAATAGTTATCTATACTGATTACTTATCTATAAAGAAGAGTTTTTCAAAGTGTAGTTGATAAAATGTGTTTTATGAAGATACGCAGACAGTGTGATTATAGACTCTAACATTATTACTTGACCCATGATCTTGTGCAACCATTCATCTATTGTTTGAGGTAAATACTTTTCTCTACCCGACCCGGATTGGACTCCACTGGTTATAGCTTCTCACTAGAACTCTAGGAAATCCATCTTGAAGCCAGTAACTAGTGAGCACATGATGAATATTATCCGATTGATGGTTTGTGGAGTCCCATACCAGGACGAAACGACCGTCTAGTGCTTCCAGTTTTTCAATGGTGGTCTAGCTTAGATCGACTCATGAATCCAACTGTTTACATTACTACAATCTCCACAAACTCCAATTCCGATCTAACATTATTAATTTGATAAGACTAGTGCTAATAATATTAATGTTCTTTAGTTAGGGTCAATTTCTAAGTTTATACAACTCAATAATCAAGTATGCACTAGTGTACTGAGAAGTTATGTTTTTTTGTACTGAGTTGATCATTGGCAACGAAAATACTGTGTGACTTCATACTAATATGCAATCTTCTTGTACACGAGGCTAACCGACTACTTTACTGAAAAGACTGAAATCGAATTACCATGTATGTATACTCATCCAAGTAAGGTACGAATGGTGTATCGATTCCTAAGAAATTTAAGACTTTTGTTGACCAGTCACATGCAATTATTATTTAGCCGATTCCAGATTGGTCTAACGTATCAGTATAATTTATTGTGATGAATGCATTAGAGATATTATCCATCAGTTTTATATTTTAACTTAATATTTTATACTGTCTGATAGAATAATATTGAATTTATATGAATCCTTAGGCAACAACTGGAGACATTACTCACTGACTTTCCAAATCGAAGTACATGTGATTTATTAACTTGAAAGTCAAGTGCATTCACGACTAAACCATTGGTTCGTTGACCTATTCAATTTTTCTTGTAGAAAAAGACCTTCGCTATGTCAAGCCAGTGAGTAGGATTGTCCTGAAATAAACATGTGGGACTATATAAGAGCATTTCCAAAATAAGGAGATTCCATATCTTTAGGCATGTCGGTGCTTTTAGGAGTATAAATCAACAACTACTAGTATAATTAAATAGACAAATTTCTTATCGAATTCTAGCTATTATCATATCTTTATCGAGAAATCTTTAGCTAAACGATATTAGTGGTTAAATGGACAAATATATTATTAAAGAATAAGGACTTTTATTTATTTAAAAACTAAGGCTAAAGCCGACTAGTGAATACGGAGAGTTAATTAATGGCAGTTTGAGGATGATTTCCCAAATAAAATCCACCCACCTACCTACTATGGATTGAACGACACACACACCAACCCATACTTGACAGCTATAAGGCTGTTAAAATAAATATAAACCAGTATATTTATAACCACAAAAAAAACAGACCTACTTTTCTGTATTAACGTTATCATCAGGACAAATAGTTGAGCATTCTTGTTCATCTAAATCGGAATTGTGTAAATAATTACCAGAAAAGGTAGAATAATTCATACTACTACTAGTAGTAGTAATGTTGTGAGTAGTGGGAGCACTACTAATAGTACTACCACTACTACAAGTAGTTAAATTGTTCTTTACCATTTCATCATGACAAGCATCATGGTTCTTTGTATGATCATCTAAATCTTTTGAGATACGACGTCGTTTTTTAGAAATATCAGACGTGGACTGTGGTATAGTATTCAATCCTGATGATTTCGATTTAATCACCAATTTACAGTTGTTTGCGATGTGATTTTTTGATTTTATACTATGGTCAGTATTTGTAACATAATCACTAATAACATTCTCTTCCCCAACATAATCCCGATCATTATTATTATTATTATCATCATCATCATCAACATGATCATAAGTATTATTTACTTGAAGGGAACGTTTACGATATGTATTTTTTATTTCCAATGATTTTTTATTGAAAATTTTATGTACATATTTGTCAGAATTATCAGTCGATGGCATGAATGAAGATGTTGCAGTTGTAATTGATGAACTAACAGAATTATCAACTGAGACAACAAAAATAGGAGGATTACTAAGCATTGTATTAGAAGTAGTAATGGCACTAGTGATATTAGTACTGATAGAAGATGAAAAAGTATTAACAACTCCAGAACACGAACTCCAATTGTTTTGCTGTGAAGAAACTAATTTACCATGATCACAACTTTCTGGTGAACTATCAATAACAATTGTAGTATTGGGTACTGATAAATCTGTAAGTATTAGAAACATCATAAATATAGTAGAAAATATCATCAATTGAAATAGTTATGAATTAAGGGCGAAGTACTTCGAAATCTATCATAAATTCTAAGATAAAGTCACATAAATTAATGAATGATATGCATGTATACAGATTCATAGAAAACTATTACTACTCTATAAAGTCTTTTTGAACAAGAGAAAAAAAAACCCGTTCACAATCCCTTGTGGATTAGTCTAACCAACTGATTTATCATAAAATATTACAAATAATAAATTAGATTTATTTATTGCTTATTTCACTGTGTACCATGAAAGTTTGAGAAGTTTATAACTATATTTTTTATATAAGGCAATAATAATAGTACTTTAGTGTAGAGTATACAAATGAATGTTTGATTCTTTACTAAAATTCAGTGATCTCATATGTTATGATATCAAGCTATAGATTAAAAGTACACTACATTAGTCAAGATATGTAATTCAAAATTTAGAGGAACACAAAAAAAATGTATGTAACCGAGTCAATATGACCGATTTCATATAAAATCTCTCAGGATTCATTACGATTAGTCAGTTCATGGGTCTTAGACTGTTATCTCTAGCTATCGAAATTGTCTAGACTAACAGCCAATGACTTTATAATTAAATATTATGTCTTGATTTGCATGGTCCATGTATTGTTTCCTAATCTCATTATCAATAAGCACTATATACATGAGTAGACATGTGAAACACATAAATCTTAACCACTTTAATCCACTGATTTGCTCTATTTACCTCAAAGCAAATTTACATCAGCCCAAATTGTTAAATTTTATATTATCGAGAGGTGAGAAATGAAACTACCGAAATGAATGATATACAAAACGGACAAAACATAAAGTATGCAGTTTGAAAAGAAGAAATCAATTCATGGGAAAGAAATAAAAAAAAACAAATACATATGAACTATGCACAATAATAATGAACTCATCAGTGGGTTACTTTGGTCGTTTATGAATGAGACACATGTTATTACTGAATTCCCACAATCACTGGATTATGATGATTGCGTAGAATGACCCGCCAACAAAACCGATGGGATGTAGCTGATGACTCCAAAAAAGTAATCGATCAAGTATACACAATCGTTATTAAGTAATAATACCGGAGTCCATAAAATAATAAAGGCGGGCTTTCTTCACTAACCAGTAAACATTATTGAATATCATTGAAAACATGAGCCGATCAATATTAAACTACTGAAAGCATGGAAGCACTGGACGGTTCCTTCGTTCTAGAATGAGACATTTCAGCAGTGAGCATCCATGATTCTGAATAAAAAATCGAATCGGTCTTGCAGTTTAACTTGGGATAAAGATTCACATTTAGAACATGCAGTACTGACTATGAGAGTTCGGAGTAATGGCTAGATTCGTAGGAATACAGCAAGAATGCCTTGTAGCTTCAAATAAACGACTGTTTACCTAATCAGCTCTTTAATTTCAAATACGAAGAGTCTTCTATTTACCTTCGAAAAACTATGCATCATGCTCTCTATATTTTGACCTTTTCATTTTATAACTTTGAAGTGAGTTAATAAAGAAATATTGCTACGTTTTAATAAGGTATAAACTATCCATCATCGCGTTTCAGATTTTGCGCAAGAAACACCTGATATTCGTTATTTCAATGATGATTAGTAAAGTATACAATTACTATTAAGATTTTTATTATTTTTATGATGATAATGACAAAAATATTTACCATCATTTTCTTTCTCAAAATTTGATTGAATTTCTTCCAATGAACATTCAGAATTATTTTGATCATTCCTTGATCCTATTAATGATGATGATGATGATGTAGGTGTGGTGTGATGACAAGTGGTCAACAATTCAAGACGTTTATTCATACAAAGAAATATATGATCCCATAATGTTGCAGTGGATAAATCCGATTTTAATTTATCGTTTCGATTACTTCTGTCAAATGTTGCTACTGATGCTACAGTTGATGGTGATGACGACGACGGACAGGAGGAGGACGAGGATATAGTAGATAGATTTGGAGGGTTTGTATTATGATTATTTCTCTCTGCTGAGGAATTTTCTTCAATCGGTTCAACAGTATAAATACAACAAATATAACAAAGAGTGCCCTAAGAAAACAGAGAGAAAAACATACAAAAGAAAGCATTAAATTGGAAGATGAGTTTAATCAAGAACAAAATTCCTCAAGGTTTTGCATTAACATAATGAATAAGCTGACAATATTGTTTTCAAACAGAGATCATCCGACATCATTGTAATAATAGAGGAAAATATGCATACATTTTAAGGATGCGCATCGGCAGATAAAGCCGAAACGAGGAAATGAGTGAGTGTAGATCGGATATTGATATGACCAACCAAATCCACGGACGAATTTGTAAATTAGTTTGAATCCCTTTACATGTAGTACAATAAATAAGGTATACCAGAATACATGCAAGCACATATATACAAAGGTACACGAGTGGAAAGGTCACAACTAATAAGAAGAACAAGTACTAAATTACTAGCAGGATTTAAAATCACTTAATGGTTACATGCTGTTTCAATCATATATAATGTAGAACCTGATACATTTGTATGTCAGCTCAAGTTGGCACACCGCATAAGAACGTCAAGATAAATTTATCAACATTGATATCATAGTAAGAATAGTACCGGTAGGAAAGGTTAGGTGGAAAAAAACTAAAAGTTTATATGGGATTTCGCGATTTACGAACTAAGGAAAAATAAACAATGAATGCGCCCGCGCCAGTGTGGATGATTCTGAGCTGTCACCTAGGCTTTAACAATTGGTTACGAAAGTCATGCGCACCTCAACCAGGTAATCTACGTCTACGTACACGGCTTAGGCCAACAGTAAATAACTTTATGAAACGATGCCAAGTTTTGATTTGATTGCCTAGAGCATCTTTTAAGTTTACTCTAACACCAGCCAATATAGCCCAACGAGGTATCCGGTGATTGAGCCTACATAATACATATCTTAACACATCAGGTGGTGAAGATTCACTACGAAACCAATCAATTTCTCATCCTTATTTACGGTTGAAAATAATACCAAATAGCTCGTTGTGACATTAATTTCTATTACAATTAAACAATTGCTAAAAAGGTACGTATAACACACTTCACTTACCCAATGCTCAGAAAAAGCATGCTGTGTTAAAGCCCAACGAGTATTTAGCTTAGTCATACACACAGGACATGTGAAATATGAACTTCGATGACTAAACTCGGAAAGATGGGTATCGAATTTCGCGGAAACACCGAATCGTAACTACAAGGCAAAATTATGAACAGAGGAACATTTTCGAAAATATTCAGTGAATAGGATTAAAATAATAGTAATCTTTGAAGAACAGTAAATTCTAGGAACATTCCGCAATTATTAATGATTGTGAGGTTTTATTCATCACAGATTGACCTTAGTTGGAGTATCATAGAGAGTAAGAAAGCACTGGCCAGCTATTTCATCCTAGTATGAGACTCCTCAGTGGTAACGCGTGCCTACAACTCAATCAGGGACTGAGACCAGACCTTTACGTCTCATGATAGACACTTGATTATTGGAACTACCGAGTCAGATTATTGGAGAGTCCGAAACCAGGACGAAACACCTGTTCATTGGCTGCTGGCTCTTAATAGCTCCCTTACTGAGACCAATCTATGATGAATACAACCAACAAATTAAACCAATTCTCCAAAAAATCCCCTTCAACTACAACACATTACCATTGCTGATCTAGCGATCACTAGATTAGATAAACAATGTATGGTGCAATCAATAACACGTGTTAATATCAACAGAAAACCCGTAACCTTGAAAAGCGCAAATCTTTTATGGAAAATTCAGAATGTATAAATAACCATAAACCCGCATAAAATTACACAGATATTTCTGAACCATGAATGATCCACCCATCTACAAAACTCAATAACAAGACCCCAGAGTCGGCTATTAAGCCAGAATAATTTAAGAAAGTAACAGAAAGCAATACAAAAAAAAATAAGTGAAAAACCACCAAAACACTTTTTAAAACTGATAGCTAACAAAAATATGGAAACAGTGTTCAATCTGTTAACTTAAACTTGACTGAAAATCATAATTCGTATTCCATACAACTGTTAAAGGAAAAAAAATAGTGAAAAGTGGAATAATAAGTAAACAGGCAAGAGATGTACAACAAACTAAATACTACCAATATGACTAGTATTATTGACAACCGATCAGAATATAAAATTCGACATTATATTAAAAAATCAATAGTCATATGAAAGCTGATGGATCACCTTCTTCGGTAGATACAGAATAAAAAACAATGTTGAGGTAGCAAGTTCCTAAGGAGATTGATGTGAAAACATTCTAACTATTATGTGAAGAAGTGGAAAGTGTTGGATACAACTGACAATTATTAAAATGCATCGAATTATCTAAATAATATAAGTCACTAAATAACTCCATGATCAATCAACTGGAAGCATTTCATTCCTACAAGAGATCAATCGCTGTCTGAATAGCTTAGTGGTAACGGCTCAGACTATGAGGCTGGGTAAATGCTATGTTTGAAGCAAATACGAGTTCACCTAGTCTGCGGACGGAACAAAGACCGATAAGCTAGTATTCTGATGTGTTCTAGCCCCGCTAACTAGAGAGAGAAGTTGAAGCTCGAACGGAGAAATATATTCCGCAAGCATCCAAAAGCACGAGCGATAACGACAGGCACAAGTCAAAGGTATATATACAGTATAAAACTGTCCTTGAAAAGCGTTACAAAAAACCATACTAAAAGATACAACGGACCAATAGCGTTTAGGATTCTCCCAAATGGGAAATACGACATAAAGGTAAAACAAGCGCTTTCGGCGCGAAAACAGAAATTCAAATTTTAGAAATAAGGTATTTACCAAGTGAGTTCTGGGTGTTTAACATCCCTAACAGTAAAGCGGGTTTTCGCCTTACAGGCATGTGGCTGTACTTTCCTCATAACTGTAGGTACGCCTTGCTGATGGAAGTTAACTAGCATGAGACCTATATCAAGCGGAGTTTCTTACCGACTTTTTCCAATCATTTAATATAGAATATTTCTAGACAATAAGATATGAGATACGCGGACTGTATTTAATCAGTCCAATGGTTAGTGTTCATAATCCATATACACTTGCATTTTAAATGTTCAAGTGATATTCTAACACATATTACTCTACTTTTAGACAGTAATATAATAATATAGATGATAATTGTATAATTTAGCCATGTATTACGTAAGTTAATATGACATAGAACATGTCAATATTAGCCGTTTATAACACCAAAAGTGATCAGGTATCTATTGTTAGGGTGAAATTTCATCATCTTAAGTTTTATAAAAAATGACCCATTTTCCTTGAATTCAGTTTGTTGGAAGATGTTAGATCCCCAGAACTCACTTGGTAAATACATTATTTTTTCATTATATTTTAAAAATTCCTCTTACTGAGGACAATTTTATACTGTATATATACGTTTGATTTGTGCCTGTTGTTACTGCTTGTGTTTCTGGCCGCTCGCGGAATATATTTTCCCATTTCGAACTTGGACTTCTCTCTCTAGTTAGCAGGATTGAGATGTGTCAGAATAGCTAGCTTATCGGTCTTTGGTTACAGAGTTTTTGTTCCGTTCTCAGACTAGGTGAACTCGTAATCGGTTCAAACGTAACACAGAATAACGTGTAAGATATATTGATGTTAAAATGAAATTGTGATCACAACAACCTTTTATAGTTTAAACCAAATCTATAGATTCAATCAACATGGTCTAAATTTCCAGGGGTTGAACTTCTACCGGGAGATTCACTTTTTGATCTAGAATATGCCAATGACATAGTTCTATTTGGTGAAGATCCTGACAAAATATAAAGTCTTCTGACCACTCTAAGCAACAATACAAGCATGTTTATACTCTTACTACTTCTACCATTACGCGATTTGAATCGACAACTGCATCTCTGTGCTAATGTGGTATGGCAACTCGAAATGATGTACGTACGTACGAAGTTCTACGTTGTTACTGACTAACTAACTGACTGATGAATACTTGTCAAGAAAATAGTTTAAGAATCGACTATATTGACAAGTGTTTATAAACCTTCAAGTCCTTGAATATTCAAGTATTTATAAGTGCATTCTGTTGTTGAATGACAGAATAGAACATAAACCAGATATTTATTAGTATTAATTAATTCTTTAACTAAGAAAAAGAAAAACAACATAGTTTACAGTGAAGTAAAAGATAACCTTCTCAATAAACATATAAAAATTCCAGAAGAAAAATACAAAAAACATTTTGTTGTGTTGAATTTTTACAGTTCATTATAACCTTTTTCTCATAATCACCCCATATACTTCATTTCTGACATAATATTACCATGGTGTATAAATATGTGTATTCTTGTACATTGAAAATAAACAAATAGAAAGAGATAGATAAACATATTTGTAGTCAATATAGAACAATGCACAGCTTAATTAGTTAGCTCATTTAAAATAGATTATAATTAAGTTTAATGTAAGCCAAAGAAAACGTTATTCTATTTTTCTTTATATATTTTTTAATTAATATATCACCATTAGAAAAAAAAGAAAAGAAAAGAAAAAACAAACGAAAATGACCGACAAAAATTTCAAAACAAAAGAAAACACATTTCAGTAGTACAGAATTGTGAGTTAATTAAGAACACAGAACAGATATAAAATGGAATGTTTAACTTATTATCTTTTCTTTAAAAAAAAAGATTATTTATTTAAACAAACCTTTTTTTTTAATGATCATGCTTATTGTAAACAACAACACAATGCTGAAAGTTCTTACAAAAAAAAACAACTATTTATGACCCCATAAGTAAAAGAATACTTTCTTTATAAGTGTGTGTGTGTGTGCGTGCGTGCATTTTGTTGTTGTTGTTTATATCTCTTTTTTTCTTTATAAACAAATCCATCACAAATGTGTATTATATAAAGGAGAGCACAATGTTAATTAATGTCTTTATTTATTAGAACATATCAGTATAGGTGGTTTATGGAGATAGTTGAGTTTGCATAGAGATCATGAAATTATTGAATGTTAGACCACCATTGAAAACCTGGATGTAGGTTATTTACTAATTACAATTTGATTAATGCTAGTAATTTAATCTATTGAATGGTAATTTAGTAAAAATGCTCATTCTGAATTCTTGCATTCAATCTATAACTTGATGGTAGTGTAATGAATATACAACACAACTATTAAGAATTTTAAGAATTCAAACAAAAAAAACCACCTATTAATACTAATAACTACTGACTGTCTCTCTTGATCTTCATTGGATATCTAACTAAAATTAGTTCATTATACAAGTCCACGTTCATGTAATCCTATGAATAGTTAACATTAAACAATGAAATGTTACAATAATATAGTATGACCAATGAAAAAGTAAATTTTGAAAGAAAATACGATCATCATCATCATCATTAACAACAACGACAACCGTAGTTGATAACACAATTAATTATAAACACATATGTAAACTATCCACCTATATCTATATATAATAAGTAAATAAGAAAATAATAACAAAAGAGAATTGAATAGAATATTCCAACCATACATACCATGGTAATTTTATAATCTAATTAGTTAATTAATGTATATTTAACACACAATATAATATTATGCATAGTGTTGTAATAGCAATAGTAACTATGTTAATTTTTCACATGATTGCACTTTTGACCTCATTCATTGGCTAATTCATGCCTGATTCATTTTTCACATACTAATGATTAAAAAAGAAACTATTTTGAGAGAAAAATAAACACGGAGACTGCCAACATAACGGGTAACAATAACAATATGTCGTCTTATGAATGTATACGCATTATTGTGTTACAACAAAAAAAATCTTGTGAATAAACAATGAAGTTGATAAGGTTTGAGATTCGATTACATCAGTTTTCTGGTAGATCTTTTTTTACCGTAAAATAAGACTATCAGATGACGTTGAATCATAGTAGAACAATGTGCAACCATTAGTTTATTTTATATATATATATATATATATATATATATATATATATATATATATTTATAAGGCTAGTGATAAATGACCAATTACCAATTTTGGAGATCTGTAGGGATTGTATTAACTTTATTAGTTGAATTCATGAGTTGATCTATGCTAGAACATCATTAAAAAACTGAAAGCACTGGACGGCCGCTTCGTCCTAGTATAGGACTCCTGAGCAGTGCGTATCCAGAAGCACATACAAAAGGGGCTCGAACCCAGGACCTTCGGTCTCGCGCGGGTCCTAGATTCAACTGCTAGCTACATTCCATCTATTCTACATGTTAACAAGGTATGAACAAGAAAGAAATTCCACATTTTTCAAAACAATAAAGATTATGAACCGAAGGAAAATGATAATCATTTTGTGATGTATGGTTACTTTTCTCACTTAGTATAATGTTTGATTGCATAATGAAATATAATTTAGTATGGAAACAATTTTTTAATGTGTAGCAATCACAAAATGGTTTCAAGATATTCAATATTTACATTCGATTGACTAAGTAATGCATTAAAACAGATTTACATAACTTACATGTCGATAGATTTTTATGGGACAGGGAATATGATCACTAGGTTTGGGTAATAAACATTCTTCAGAAGAATTTAGTTGGGATTTTAATGGTGATGATGACAACGAGTGTTTGTATGAACGATGTTGTAGGGAATTTGGGATAATATTTGAAGAACCGTATTTGTTTGTATATAATAAGTGAACTCCGGCATGTGATAAAATAGCCTGTGGAGAATCGAGCAAAGCCAATCCACATACACAATTTGGCAGGACTTGTAAACAAAACAGAGTATAATAAACATTGCATGAGTTGACATTATCACAAAATATACAGGGAAAAAATGTTAAACACGGTATATATGCCATCTAAAGGTTATGCAATAAATAAGAAATTATGAACGAGAGCATACTATTGTAGAAAGTCAATTAAGGGCTTACGCCAAAGTCATATTCCTCTCAGTCTTCTTCAATGAAGTCAACTTCTACCTGAAGTATGTGCTGATAATGTTGTTCAGAAGAACAATGAAAGCTACACGACTAAACCATCCAGATTAGAAAACAAAGCTTCACTTGAATCATTCACCTGAGCTACAAATCTTCTCCACCATCTCTGTCTTCTCATTTGCATAGTGATTTGATATATTTTAGAAAGTGCAACATCTAAACCGCTGACAACAATATGATACAACTATGTGAATAATGATAAACTATGATTCATTAGTCAATATTCACAGAATCGCACACATTAAGCTTACAAGTCATTACTATGTTGTTTACAGACTGTGGACTGTGTAGTTCAACCATTTTATTAATTCTCGTACTTCTTGTTTTTATCATCAACAAACTATGTCATTTTCATTGTTCACATATAATATACTGAAGAATAATTCAGATACAACAATGGTTATCAGAAAGGTACACAAAAACTAACCTTTGGCATTCTCATTCCACTTACGCATACGTTCAAGACACCAAGTAGCCATACTTAAAGGAGGATAAATAAACATAAAAAAGACGAGTATGTGTATATAGGTGAGAGAGAGAGCAAATAAAAGCAAACAAACAATGACTATATTCTGAGTAGACAGAAATGCTCAAAATACAATACAATGTCATCAGAGCCCATTAAACAACCGACTAAGTTCGATCACATGATTTTATTGGGGTGAGAATTAACATATCATGGAAGATAATCTCGGAATACATTGTAGTATTCTGTTAATATATTTTTGTCTAAATACTTGAATTCAATTTGAAATCATTTGGATCATTCCGTTGTTGGTATTTTTGACTGAAATTTGATCAGTCTTGGTTAGTGTATGTGAGAATTGCTTGGATATAACCATTATGACACTAGTTCATACAGTACAGATGACATGTGGCTAGCAGTGGAGTGCAGGACGTGAGTTTTGTCCTACTTGGGACTGGTCGGCTGGAGTTGACGTTCCCTACGGGATTCAAACCCAGTAAAATTTACTTCAAACGCCACTGCGTTATGCAATTAGCTACTGTGACCAAATAACTACTCAACTGTGGATGTAACACAAATGTGAATATACACACGACAAGTTCATGAATAAGATGTAATATCTGGAAACCCTGGAAAAAGTTAGCTATTTAAGATAAGTGATTTTATCACACTAACGTAATTCAGTACGCTGATTATAACTACAAATCTGTGAAATTGTCCAACCAGACATTCAAAGTTTCATAGCTGAATGAAACAATACGTGATAAACTATGAAAATTGTTCACATTGGAGTAGATAAAGTGGTTTTTTTCTTAAATATGTATCTATCATTGAACTTTTTAAAACTTTTTCTTACAAAACTGTTTTATTTACTCATGAACGAGTAGACAACCTACTTTGAACATTAATGATCAGTTGATCATCAGTATATATTTACATTTTATTTGATGCACATATGTGAACAACAGTTAACTATGGAGTTACTTTTTTTTAAAATCTACGGAATTCAGTACAACAAATATCGAGGAATTTTAGTGGAGCGGTAATTCCGTGCACGATTAATCCATTCAATTTTCACACACTAAATATCAGGCTCGAATAATGACTCCACCCATCTATTTCAGTTTGGACAATAGGGTACTAGTGTTACTAGCCTTTACACTTAGAATCTTATTTACTTATTTATCTTAACACATAGATATTGGTACAAAGAGGCACCAAATACATATGCGCCACACAAATCTCATTCGACATGTGTGAGGGCTGTGATACTGCCCCGGGTGCCCAAACCGAAGCAGGTGGTTTTCTTAGGGGGTCACTTCCCGAGCCTTCGGCCTGAAGGTATGATCCACAAGGCAGTGGAGCATAGTGAGGAGATGCAGTCCCATAAAAGCCGGTGACCAACAATTGGTTCATACGCCATTTGTTCCCGCAGGATACTGGAGCACATGTGCACCGTTGGTTTGGAATCCGGTTAAAGTGCCGGACATTCGCTTTTCGTCCTCTCATTTTCGTAAACAACACCCCTGCCACGAGAAGGCAGTGAGTATGACTTCCCTGACAGAGGCTATATATGCGTGGCCATGTGGAAGCATTTCGAGAGGGAGAGCGGACTCTACCCACTCTCGGCCGTACCAGGGCATTTGGGGGAACACTTAGAATATGGCTCAAGTTCAAGTACACACCATAATGATAAGATTAATAGATATATAATCTACCAACGAAAAAGATCATCTAATGGATGATTAGCAAGAACGCTTAGTATTAGGGAAACAGTTAATCATATAGTTATGTAATCTAAACAAAAAAAAAGATTGTTATAAACATTTTTCTTAGAAATTGATTCTGTTCCAAAAAAATTGTATAACTTTGTCATACGGAGAGTGGTGAACACCTGTGTTAACTTCAGAAGTACTGAAATACATTCATGTATACATGATGCCATATATCAAATAAAGTTTAACATATTTATGCTTCATTATAAATATCAGTCATACATAGTTGAAGAGAAATTTGATGGTCTAACTACATTAATGTACGTATAATATGTGGAAGGTAATAAATTGTAAAGATGAATATTTTTTTCTTATCAAATCCTCTATGTTAATTATGATTGATTTCAGTTGGATGCCATTGAAATCCAAGGAGAACTAGTTAGTCAATTCATGTTAGTATTAATAGACCAACAGATTGATCTACTTATTGAGTTCAACAATTCTAACCGAAAACAAACAAACAAACGAGAAAAATACGTGAAAAACAGTAAACCATCAAACAAACCACTCAATTCAAACCAATTATACTTACCAATGTTCATGAAGATGTGAGAATAAATGCATATGGGTAGCACGAGTTTTATCCTTTTTTCTACAAGTCATACGTATATGACACCATGGACATGCAATTAATTTATTTCGTCTTGAATAATGACAACTATTCTCATGAATATGTAAGTTAATTAAATCAGAAAAATATTTTGGTGTGTAAAGATTATATCGCTGGATATTAGTATTATGATTATTAATTGTGTTGTTATGCATTGGTTGTTTAGTTGTGTCAAATCCAGTATGATCATCTTCCGATAAATAACCAGTGCTGAAACTATCTACTGAAAACTGTGATTGTAGGACAACGTTAACACCATTATTCAATTGGCTATTACTATTATCATCATTATTGTTACTTGTGGTGTTCGTTGTAATGTTACTGATATTTGGGATAGAATTACCTGTGGAAAAGAAAGAATCAATAATGTGAAAGATCATTTGCATTCGACTTATTAAGCAATTGTTATAACCCGATGAGAATAATAAATGGTAACTGCTGGGATCTATTTCTGGACTATTACTATACGTACATTTTTATCGTATAATTATTAAGTTACTAAACTATTCATATTCGTGTCCCTCTTATTATGAGCTTTATTTTGACAATATGAACTATTATTATATGATTTACCATTCTTGAGTTATGCCCTGTCTATCAATTACTATCTCCCTTATTCACAGACACATTTGGCTAAATCTTGTACAAATGTTGTTTCATATTTTATGGTACGAGATGTAGTCCGTTTACTTGGTATATAAACCCAGTATGTTTGAAATACGTGATTCATATCACAGAGGCTGAGATTGATGTTCTGGACTTAACAGGCAGGGTTAGGCGGGAATCAGGATCGATAAGGACTGTAGACTGCTCGTACAGGGTTTATGTGTCATTGGTCCGATCGATAATTCACTGCTCTATAGTTGGCGATATAATTACACTATACAGTGATAGGGGCACAAACCAACAGGCTATAACAGCAATCCAATTAGGTGAGCTAATGCACTGGAGCGTTAGATTTGAGGTTAAAATGCTAGTGTTTTAATTAAAATGATAAAAATACGATAAATATATAATGCTCAGATGACCTTGGGCGATTTATTAACCAATCAGGAAACGGTGTCTAGTTTTACAACAATTAACAATATAAAGTAACGGAAATAATTATGAAAAGGTAGTTCATAAAGAAATATACACACAAGGAGTCAGGCGAGTGTTGTGAGTTAGGGTTATCACTCCAGTTAGGTTTTCGTCACCAATTGATATACACTATAACACAATGTTTTACCAACCTTCTTTTTACAATAAACAACACCTGGTACTTTAACACACAATTTACCTTCAGATCAAGTATGTTTCGAAATTTAGTTCATGTACTACTTAAAATTCCCTTTCTGATTGCGTAATAGATATTTTCATTGATTTCAAACATTTTAAAAACCAAATACTCTCGATTTTCACTTCAAATTCCGCTTAAAATACATGTTGCGTCGTCTTCATTTTGAGCATCAGTATACTATACTTTTACCAAAAATACTATTCTAGTTTTTGGATTGAAGTGGTAAGTTGAATCAATGGTGGCCTGCTGTATGGAAAAATATTAATAATCATGTCATCATGTATACAATCCTTGATTAGCCATTTTTAGTACATTGATTTAAAGATTATGGTTAGGAATGGAATCTATGATGCGTATTTCATACTACATAAGACTCGGTCAATTCGATTTAATTCCATTCTAATATTTGATGCATACATTAAAAGTTCTAACGAAGTAGTTATTGCTTTATACTTCAAAGTGTTACAACCACAAAACAATTATTGTGTACAGATAGGCATTGATTAGTTTAAAATTAGTTCACATTATTATATTATAATTGTAGGGGGTTGATCTTAGCGATGCTGGAGTTGATTAGTTTCTATTGAGAGTAACATTACATTTTAGTTACAGGTGTTTTAGTATATTTCGACATCAATTCATTTCAACTGTAATTATTGTCAACAATGAAGAGAGAATACAAACAATTACAGGTAACTTCAGTTGAGTAGGATAGTATAGAATGTTGACTATAGTGGCTTAGCTTCGCTAATTAATCACCTTGATAACCTTTAGCATATAAATTCCCAAAGGCATTTGAATTCAGAAGGCAATAAGAAGGGCGACTACAATTTATCAACGGATAGCACACATAACGAAGTAACAAGCACATCGAGCGGATTTGGAGCGGAGAGGTTAATGTGTGTGTGGGAGAGAGAGAGAGATGAATTTACAGTCAAATCGAATCAATGCAAGGCAAAGGCTATTATTAGGATTCCAGCACACATATACATCATAAAGAGAATGAATCATCGAGCGATATTTAAGCGATTAACATTTATGCTAGAGACAGATATATACGTAGGTTAGTGTAGGTGATCAAAAGTACACATTTATACAGACAAGATAGTGATTAAAATAGTACAAAGAAATAAATGAATAGTTATTGTCCGAATAAAATTGTCTGTTAAATAAGTCAATAAAAGGGCTTAACCAAAATTAAACATAATCGAAATGGATTGTAGGAGAATTGTTACATAAATATTAAATTATTTAATCCAGCTTTAAGTTTATCGCATAATTCTGTGTATTGGATTACACTGAATTTGTGAAAATGTGATTAGTATCCAATCTTTGTTACTCATGCTCTCTGAAGCCTTATTTTAGGAAAATTCCCTAAGTAACACTTTTATTCCAGTCTTTTTTTTCATAAAGTTTATAAAATTAATCATGTTTTAATGTTCATGTACTTTCCAAATTATATAATAATCATTAAGTCACACAATAAACAGGGGAATCAAAAGAATATAAAGCATAAAAATGAACTGAAATTATATTAAAATCCTAATACAAATGTGACATATACAGATCTTACCGTCATCTGATGTACAGGATTCTAAACTAGGTAACACTGGATCTGGTAAATTTATAGACGAAGAATTCACCATAGATTTTTTTTGTGAACCAATTCCACAATAAGCACAGAAACATAATTTACAACCCTGTATAGTATTACTATTATCATCAATATTATGTTTATTAATTTTATGCACGTTTCTTGAATATATTCGATCAGTATTATTTACATTTAATTGTTCTTGGCGTTCATCAATTGTATGCTGCTTATTATTATTATTATTGTTCTCTACATTTATTGGCAATGAATTAACATTGAACAAATCAAATGCTTTATCTTTGTTATAGAAATGACCAAATGTTGAATAAAATATAGATTGCGCATGACGACATTCAGTTAAATGTTCACGAAAATCATGAATATTTGGTAGAAGACGTTTACATGCACCAAAACAACGATAAAAGCATTCACGATTACATTTTGATGCATGTTCTTTCTAGAGAAGTAAAGGATGGTAGAGTGGAGTGAGCAGAAAACAAGTTATAATTAACAAAAAAACGAAGAGAAATTGGAACAAATAAATTTTCGCTAATGAAATCACGAACTGACCACTACTGAAGACCTAGAAGTATGGGACGGCCGTCCCGTTCAAATAAGGGACTCCTCAGCAGTGACCATTCACAGCTCTGCACGCAGGAATCGAACCCGGAACCTACGGTTTCACATGCGAACACTTAACCTCTATAAAGTTGAGCCAGCATCTAATGATGTCAATGTCTAACTTCAATCAATCCAAAATAAATTTATTTAGAAAAACCGATGGAGAAAAACTGAGCTGGACTGTCTTTCTATCTATATTTCTAATTAAATTTATATCTGCCCTTCCCCATTCCCAATTTACATAATTTGCATGAGATGCTTACCATAATTAGACTCGGACGACACCTCGCTTATTACACATGATGATAATAACATCGGGTGATTTTAATGTGATCATCTGAATCAATTTCTCCTACTATGCATTTTATCCACATGATTTATTTTGATTAATTGAATTTCTCTACACCAATTTTTCAAATAACCTTTCTGATTTGAAAATGATACTTTTTAGAGCATTTATGATGTAATAGGTGCAAAAGTTCACCAATATCTAATTCACTAGCATGGTTATTGTAACACAATAATAATGGACATATCACGGTGAAAACCCTATTGATTGATTCAGTAGACATCTACCGTTAATCGAACAGTACATACCATAAGTATTAAAGGCAGCCAGACATAATAAAAATAGGGCAAAGTAGTGGAGGGATGATCATGTGTAGTGTTACCACATCTAAATGCTTAAAAGTTGTATAGCATAGGGAAAGAAAGGGTTGAAAGGAAAGAAACGCGTGAGAATTAACGGGGTGATCATAAAACTGATGATCAGCAAACTTTATGTATGTAAAACAGACTTTATAATCAGTTTTTCTTGGCAGCTTGAGTGGTGTTACAAGATGAATTCAACGAATGAAAACTTGACTTATCATTCTGATGTCAGGCAGTTTGAAAGTATTGGAGTAAGTGGAGCAAGGTACATACGGCATAGTCAGCGCTTGTTTTCAACTCGGATACAAGAACATGTCACAGTGTAGTTCTACAAGGGTGAGTAGAAAGCATTTAGAAGTTCTAGTCTTGAACATCTAATCAGCTCTAATCACTCTACTGAACCATAGGTTGATTTAAAAGTTGTTTACATAGTTCGTTTAAATCTATCTAGATTCCTTCGAATCCAACTCCTTAAAACAGTAGAAGCTCTTGTCATCCAAGAGTTGAAGCCAGAACTGTGAGTACAAAAGAAGTAGGTCTTACTTTTACCTTGGCCTTAAGCTATAATCATAGTTATTATATCTCATGTTAGAAAATATTATCCCCCATCTTTCTATATATATGGTTCATATACTCATGATTTTATTCATATTTGTTTTTGACATCATTTCATTTTTGCCCTTCTATTACCTACGTGCAGGATCTTGGATGCACACTGCCGAGGAGTCCCATACTAGGACGAAACGGCCTTCCATTGCTTCCAGGTTTTTCATGGTGGTCTAGCTTCAATTGACTCATGAATTCTACTATTAAATTACTATAATATCCACGAAACCCATATCTGATTGTTGTAATTAATAAAATAAGTATGAAGAAGAGCTTGCTAGAAAACTCAATATAATGTGCTTATATCTTGCTGTCTTTTATCACTATAATAGGAGAGAAAAATGTCAAAATTGTTTATTTCTGTTTTGAGGAAAATGTAAACTATCGGCGAGGAATTAAAGTTGTCCTGATTGTGTATTGTTTATGTTCTGGTTCTTGGTTTCTATTGAGATGATGAACTGGTCAATCTTAGCCCATCAATGAAAACCTGAAAGCATAGGATGACTGTTTCGTCCTAGTATGGGACTCCTCGGCAGTGCGCGTCCACGATCTCGCACGCCAAAAATACAACAGCAGAAATGAAAAGTCTTAGAAGAAAGTACATATTGATTCGACAGCATTTGCAAACTATACGGATGATTTGGAATTCAATTTTAACCTGGCTACTAATCAGAAGAAAAACACACGACACCTCAAGATTTCTTTATGTTTCCAGAATGCAAAATGGTCATGTAACGACAGTACTGGGGATCAGATAGAGAATAATGGCAACGGATACTGGGCAAGTGCATTCCCATAAATGGGGAGTATTATGAAAGTGATACGATTAATCCACCCTAAAGTTTGAAAAATGAAGTTCACGAGTTTATTGGTTAGATGATAAGTAATTCGTAGATTACTGGTACTGAACAATCGAATCAATGTGAATGTTAAATGGAAGATCAGTAAGTTAACAATTTATGAGAAGAACACAAAGTTTTTGCACTAAACACAAATCTGAAAAGTATAAGCTATAACGATAGCAAAAAAAGGTAATTCATGGTTCAGGAGAAACGAAACCATTGAATACACTACAATTCAATGGTTTGAAGAGTAACGCAGTGGCCTCCGAAGCTCGAAGGTTCTAGGTGATAGGTGATGAGATATTGGGTCCAGCTCTATCTAATTTCAAATGATTATTTTGTTAAACGTCGTTAGTCCATGATGTAAAACTTGAAAAATAGTGAATAATTTCTACAAAACCCTCTATGTTGGTTTCACAAAAAATCCAACAACTACTCACTTGAAAATGTTCCATATAGTGTTCTCTCGTACTAAATTCTTTAGAGCATTCAATGCATTGAAGTTCTATACCATAATCAACCTTTGGAGCTAAATTCATAGATAACTTATTTTTAACATTTTTATTATTGTCATTAGTGTGAGTCTTTTGTAATTCATCTATCATTTGTATAACATCCGAGTATTTGGATGATTTCTGTGGATCTGAAGAAGTAACACCATCATTACCAACACAATTACCAATTTTACGAACATCATTATTGACTGAAGATGTTTGTTTATTACCTACAACAACGACAGCGGGATGAAGAGAACGTGGTGGTGGCGACTCTGGAACATCAATAGTTAAGATGTTATCTGATGATTGTTCAATTTCATGTTGGACAGCACCGCATTTATTAGTTTTTTCGATAGCACTGGGAACTATAGAAGACCAATGAACATTTTTGAAATGACATAAAAATTCTTGGATGGAATTGGAACGAAAAATATTTTGAGTCTTATTAAGAATTGAACTATTGACCAAACCATGAGCTGCTTCGACGTTATCATTTTGATAACACGTAAAAAAAAGCGAAAAGAAATTCGAAATTGAGTAAAATAAAAAGGCAATTTAAATTCGACCATCGTTATAACAGATTAAACAAAACTGATAAGACGTTCAAAACCTACATTTAATTTTGTTAGCACAGGCACAACATTGGGAAACTATATTTGCAATAATCTTGTAGGAACTTTAACATGTTAATCAAATAATGGTTTATAAATTCGAGCTTTAAATTTATATTTTGCATAAGGAGCAGTGATGCAGTACTAACTACTAGTCGAAAGAATTTGGAGATAAACGAGTACGAACATATAGCCCTATCAGAATCTAACATTGACTGCACACCGCTACACAAGTGTTGTCAAATCCGAAGATTAAATTATGGGTAACTTCTGGGAACTGTTTATTTATTATATATACTCTTGTTGTATAAGTATTCAGAAACTACATTATACACACTTATATTTCTATTTTATCATAAGCTTTTATTTGACCTATTGGCTACTGTTATACAATTTACTACTCCTATTTTTTCCTCAATCTATTAGTTACACAGTCTCCTGTACTCGCAGCTACCTTTGGCTTGATCCTCTATGATTATTATTTTTCATTTTATGGTGTGATGCGGTCTGGTTTGCATGTATATAAACCACGTATGTCTGAAATATATTATTCATACAGTGTAAGCTGATATTGTGCTCTGGACCGAACAGGTAGGGCTAGGCGAGAAGCTGTGATACAGGGGACCAATGATGATTCAGAGTTGACGAAAGGCTGTTACAACTGGTTGACGCGTCATTGATTTAGCACAGGAATAAGGCCACAAGAGTCGGTATTCAGATTGGCAATTTTGTCACTTGATATTTGGCGGGCCATAGAACATAACAAGTGTTACGACTAAGCTAAACAAAAGTTCATATGCGTAGGCTAATATTAACATCATTTGGCAAAATTACAATGATCTCACTCAGTAGCGTAAATCAGAATGTAAATAACTCAAGTCAGGAATGGCTATCAAAGAAATCGGTAATGGATATACATAAGTATAGAACACAATACAAATACCGCTTATGTGTGAAAAGTGGGTGGTCATTCCTATTCTAATAATCAAAATAGCTTGTTTTAGGATATTATTACACAGTCTTTGTCTAAATGTATCGATTTATTTTGATTTTTTATGACTCATATGTTACAGTCAACCTAACTGTAAGTGTATTACTCCGGTTTTATTGAAAGTATTGTTGTTATGTACATCTATTGAGGTGAGTTGTGATATTCTATTTTCACTTGCATTATCATATGAGTCATGAGTTTAAACGTAAAGATATCCTCTAAATCAGTGGATCCTGAAGGAACAAATGGCGCATGAATCAATCGTTAGTCACTGGCTACCATGCAACTGCATCTCCTGATGTTACTCAACCGTTTTGTGGATTAGACCTATAGATCAAACGCTCTGGGTGTGGACCCCTAAGAAAACCATTTGCTTCGGTCTGCACACCTGGGTATTATTGCAGCCCATACACAAATCAAATGAAATGACAATTAATACGAGAAATACTATTATCGCTTCAATCCATTTTTTATGTACTACGTCAATTATCTACTCTCTTCTATTCTCACTTTGTGTATCCTTATTTTACGACTTATACAGCAGCTCGCCTATAATGGAAACCCTGTCCTATCTATCCTCGAGTCATTGTCTGATCGAAAGTTGAATGCTACCACCGAATACGAATAGTGAAAAACTTTTTGAAATCATGTTTAGCATTCAAACTGGCTTCCTTCAACTTTCGCACACTAATGCAAATCGGACAACAGATAGGGCTAGCTATGCCTTTGGAAAGTCTTAATATCGACGACTGTTATCTATCCGAGACCCGTATTCAAGACTCAGGTGAAGTACTAAAAACTCGCTCTCCATCTGTCGCTTTAAAAAACTTGTTTTACGTGCGTTTCTTCAGGGACCCTGTGACAATGTCGTTTGGTTTTGTTGGCGCTGGTGTCGCACTAAGCGCTAGAGATGAGACAGCACAAATCGATTGGATCCCCATTAACAGTCGGTTATGTGCTGTTAGATTAGAAGGTTCCATCAAAGTGAGAAGTCGGTGTGAGAAACGATTTCTTTTCGTCATCTCCGCTTATGCCCCGACACATTGCAACCCGGATGCAATCAAGGGTGGATTTTACCACCAGTTAACTGTTCTTCTACAGAAAGTGCGTTCGACAGACATTGTAGTACTAGCCGGCGACTTGAATGCTCAGGTCGGGCATCTAGGCACGGATGAGAGTCGTTTGGGTGGCCGATGGAGACTTGTTGGTCGCAGGACAGATAACGGTGATTGTCTACTGTAACTGTGCACAGACTACAACATGTTTCTGGCTAACACTAACTACCGGCACAATCATCACCGATATGACAACTGGTGTGCTTCCTCTGCATCTCAAACCTGGACTCAGATTGATCACATCGCGATCAGCCACCACTGGGGTGGTTATGTACAAGACTGCCGCTCCTTTTGGAGTACCTATTTGGACTCTGATCATGCCCTTGTTTGTGCTAATCTTACCTTACTTTTCAGTGGCCAACAAATTTATCGTCATAAACGGATTGATGTCAGTAAATTGGTTGCAGTTCCTGTTGCAACTAAATATCAAACCGCGCTGGGCTTCGCGAAACATCAAATCTACAAGCACTGTGTTTCTTCAGGCTCCTTACAACTCATTGAAGCCTGTCAGTCCACGCAGGATGACCGTGAGTTTGACCGAAAACGATGAGTATTACGCAATAAAACTGGGAAAAGCTTGCGAGAAGCCTGGTGGTCGGAGCGTGCCAAAGAGTTAGAAGCAGAAGCTTCATCTGGTAACTGCCGACCGTTTCTTCTCAATATAGGACTCTCCAGTAGTACGCATCCACGACCATGGACGCGAGACTCAAACCCAGAAACTTCAGTTTCGTGCACAAAAAACTTAACTTCTAGATCACTGAGTCAACATCCAATGATATCAATATCTAACTTCAACCAATTTACGACATTGCGCGACCATCTTCCATTGTCTTTAGTGGGCAACCGCCACACACCTGATAATCATCAGCTCCATTGGTCACGGCTTTTAACTAGAACTCCAAGAATTCCCTCTCGATTCTAATCACTGGTGAGCACATGATAATTGTCAGTAGCGAGTTGTGGAGATTGTTAAAGTTCATTGAAATCATGAGCCGAAAGTCTTGGGTTCGAACCCCACGTCTGCAGTTGTGGAGACGCGCCGCCGAGGAGTTTTATATTAAAACGAAACGACTGTCTAGTGCTTCCAGGTTTTCAATAGTGGTTTAACATTGATCAGTTCATTATTACAATGAAACTCAAAAATCTCCACAACCCAATACTGAGGATAGTTGTTTGTTTGATAATCCAAATCTCTCATTAATAATCAGTCAAACATCCAAAGAAATTAAAAGATCATTTAAATATTCAGTGAATATTTGCGAAATAATCTATCACCATTGTTACATTCTTAATAGTATCAACGTCCAATTGCTCGCCTATTTACGACTTTTAGTTTGATTGACTTGATGTTTTAGCTCATGTTGCTTGATGCTAGCTGATAAGATGCGGTCAAAAATGAGTCTCCTGATAGTTGAAACTCATAAGTAATTTGTGAATTGATGACCCAGTGATAGGCAATGTTGTCGGACTATATTACTATTGAGTTGTGCATTAGAGAACGGCTCTTTAAGAACGGTGATATTCAAACTAATTGTGAAATCCACAAGTAGTAACACAAGTTTAAGTGGTGGAGGCTTATGTACTATAAGCTCTGAGAAACATTTTTCTGTACCTGCCTCGGTTTGGGCACCAGGGCAGTATCCCAGCCCTCACACAAATCGGATGATTTGTGTGGCGCATATCTATTTGGTGCCTCCTTGTACCGATATCTATGTGTTAAAATAAATAAATAACATTCTTCTGCATGTCTTTACGTGTAGGATGGGTGGGGGATTAGGTACCTGATATTTTTCCCGGCCGCGTAAACCTTAGTTTGTCAGTCAATCGCACGCAACGTAGAACCTGACACACATATGCACCACTTCAAATTGTCATGCTACACAACGAGGTAGAATTATTTAAAGATGTATCCCAGAATAGTACGAGTAGTAACAGTGTTACGAAACTTCGAGACTCATATTCTAAAGGAATATAAAGGGTAAATATACCTACGCTATTGCGAACGCTTCTGGGACATGTCATTCACGCGGACCTAAATCAGGTAGTCTACACCTATGAAAACTCCGCCTGTAGCTCTTCTAGAGTTACTGCCGGTCCCAAGCCCGGGTAAAGGAGGAGGGTTGGGCATGGGGTTAGCGTCCCCATCCCGTAGAAAACTAACTCGCTAAAAAAACGCTTACCAGAAAAAATAATTCAAACCATTTAAACTCTGCCCTGGGAGTTAGAAGGTCTTCAGTTAGAAGAATTATGACGCTTCATGGTGAAAGCCGAGTTCCTTCGGAAGCCACGAGGCCGATGCCCCTTCTAACAACCAGAGCAAAAATTTTTATAGGTACATGGAACGTTCGAACAATGTGGGAAACCGGGAAGACCAGTCAAATAGCAATGGAAATGAGGAGATACAACTTAGCAGTACTGGGAATCAGCGAAACCCACTGGACCCAAGCTGGACAGAAAAGGCTAGCTACGGGAGAGATGCTGCTATACTCCGGTCACGAAGAGGACAATGCTCCACACACTCAGGGAGTCGCTCTTATGCTGTCCAAAGTAGCACGAAATGCACTTGTAGGATGGGAGTCTCACGGATCCAGAATCATCAAAGCATCATTCAAAACAAAGAAGGAGGGGATCTTAATGAATATTATCCAATGTTATGCACCCACCAATGATAGCAACGACGACATTAAAGATCAGTTCTACGAGCGGCTGCAGTCAATCATTGAGAAATGCCCAAGAAAGGACCTAACTATTCTGATGGGAGATCTAAATGCCAAAGTCGGAATAGACAACACCGGATATGAAGATATCATGGGACGACATGGACTGGGAGAGAGAAACGAAAATGGAGAAAGATTTGCAAATCTATGTGCATTCAACAAATTGGTCATAGGAGGCACAATATTTCCACACAAGCGTATACACAAGGCTACATGGATCTCACCGGACCACACTACAGAGAACCAAATAGATCATATTTGCATCAACAAAAAATTCCGAAGGACAATGGAAGATGTGAGAACCAGGAGAGGTGCTGACGTAGCTTCAGATCACCACCTAGTTGTAGCCAATTTAAAACTGAAGCTAAAAAAGAACTGGACAAGTGGACAAACAGCACTACAAAGGTTCAATACAGCCTTCCTTCGAGATACTGACAAACTCAATGAATTCAAGATAGCTCTCAACAACAGGTTCCAAGCCTTACAAGATCTACTGAAGAAGAAGAAACTACTATGGAGGACAACTGGAAAGGCATCAAGGAAGCATTAACTTCAACGTGTCAAGAGGTTCTGGGCCTAAAGAAACACCATCATAAGGAATGGATCTCTATAGAAACACTGGACAAGATCAAAGAAAGGAAGAACAAGAAGGCAGCAATTAACAACAGCCGAACACGAGCAGAGAAAGTCCAAGCACAAGCTGAATACATAGAAGCAAACAAACAAGTGAAGAGCATTAGAGCCGACAAGAAGAAATACGTGGAAGAACTAGCAACGACGGCAGAAAAAGCTGCTAGAGAAGGAAATATGAAACAGCTTTACGATACAACGAAGAAACTAGCAGGGAAATACAGTAAACCAGAGAGGCCGGTCAAAGACAAAGAAGGCAAGCCAATCACCGAAATTCAACAACAGCGTAACAGATGGGTGAATACTTCGAGGAACTCCTGAATAGGCCGGCTCCAATGAATCCACCGGACATCGAAGCAGCACACATAGATCTTCCTATAGATGTCAACCCACCAACGACGGAAGAAATTAGAATGGCCGTCAGACAAATCAAGAACGGGAAAGCAGCAGGACCCGACAACATACCAGCTGAAGCACTGAAATCAGACATCGAAGCAACCACAAGCATGCTTACCTTCTATTCAAAAAGATTTGGGAGGAGGAACAAGTGCCGATGGACTGGAAAGAAGGACACCTCGTCAAGATTCCAAAGAAAGGAGATCTGAGCAAATGTGAAAACTACAGAGGCATTACACTACTGTCAATACCAGGGAAAGTCTTCAACAGAGTGTTGCTGAACCGGATGAAGGATGCAGTAGACGCCCAACTTCGAGATCAACAAGCTGGATTCCGTAAGGATCGGTCGTGCACAGACCAAATTGCAACACTACGGATCATCGTCGAACAATCAGTTGAGTGGAACTCATCACTATACATCAACTTCATTGATTATGAAAAGGCATTCGACAGTGTAGATAGGAGGACATTATGGAAACTTCTTCGACACTACGGAGTTCCTGAGAAGATTGTCAACATTATCCGGAACTCATACGACGGACTACAGTGCAAAGTAGTGCATGGAGGACAGCTGACAGATGCATTCCAAGTAAGGACTGGAGTCAGACAAGGCTGTTTACTCTCTCCCTTCCTCTTTCTTCTGGTGGTCGACTGGATTATGAAGACCTCAACATCTGAAGGAAAACACGGAATACAATGGACAGCTCAGAATCAATTAGACGATTTGGACTTCGCAGATGACCTAGCCCTCCTATCACGTACACACGAACAGATGCAGATGAAGACAGCCAGTGTAGCAGCAGTCTCTGCATCAGTAGGCCTCAGCATACACAAAGGGAAAACCAAGGTCCTCAAATTCAAAGCGGAGAACAGCAATCCAATCACTCTTGATGGCGAAACTCTGGAAGATGTAGAGTCCTTCACATACCTAGGAAGCATCATCGATGAACAAGGAGGTTCAGATGCAGACGTAAAGGCGAGGATCGGCAAAGCAAGGGTCGCATTCCTACAATTGAAGAACATATGGAACTCAAAACAACTTTCAACCAATATCAAAGTGAGAATCTTCAATACGAACGTCAAGGCAGTTCTACTGTATGGAGCTGAAACTTGGAGAACTACAACAACCACCATCAAGAAGGTACAAGTATTTATAAATACTAGTATAGGGGTTGTGGAGATTATTAAGTTTTTGATTGAGATCATGAACCGATTAATGTCGCAAGATACTCAACATCCATTGGCCGGATACCATCAGCAACAGCCTTTTGTGGAAGAGAACAAATCAGCTTCCAGCTGAAGAAGAAATTAGGAAAAGACGATGGGAATGGATAGGACATACATTACGCAAATCGTCAAACTGAATCACGAGACAAGCCCTAACTTGGAATCCTGAGGGGAAGCGGAAAAGAGGAAGGCCTAAGAACACATTACGTCGGGAAATAAAAGCAAATGTGAAAAGGATGAATAAGAATTGGAAGGAGCTGGATTGGATTGCACAGGACAGAGTTGGATGGAGAATGCTGGTGAGCGGCCTATGCTCCTTCACGAGGAGTAACAGGCATAAGTAAGTATGTATACCTATGAACATAACTCTCAAACCCAAATAGACAGAATAGCATTCTAAATATATTTAGTGGTTAAAAACCCAGCGCTTTACAATCACTGAGACATCACTTGGGCTAGTAGTAACAGTAGTCATAAATGTTAATTTTTTAATGGAAAAATAAAAAAGCCACAACTTACAGGAATTAGAACGTGAATTTGTATGGGATGTAGTCGTGGAACATGTCAATTTGATATTTTCTTTATTCATATGAATAGCAGCCGTATGGTTGGCTGCAGATGTGAGTTTTCTTTTTAGGACGTCATGAACTGGAATTGAGGCATTATCACCTGTTGTCTCTGATATCTGAAAAGCTTTGGTACTAGTATAATTTGTATTTTTAGTATTATGACTCTCAGAATTATTACTACGTGTTTGTTGTACACACCATAAACATGAATATATTCGCTTTACATGATGTCCCAAATGATGGTGACACAAGTTATCATAAGTAGGATAAGCTTTACCATCCCCATCACAATAATTACATCGAAATATTTCTTTCAAATTGAAATGATAACAAACAAAACGCAGATGAACACGTAAACATAATTCTGCACAGTCTGGCGGCAAATGTAATGGAGGCTTCATTCATTATTATCATGTTTGTAATTAGAAAATATTTAGGGAGAAAAGGGAAGGTATACAAATAATTAATTGACGTTAAAAATTATGTACTGAATGAACAAAAATATTATATTGAAAACGCTTATTTATATTCGTCGCCATAGGAGGAGGGTTATGGATTATCTAGAATGTATTAAGTTTACTCTTTCACTGGAAATGCTGTTATATGATGCCGCATGTTTATAGGGTCTGCATTCGGGTAAATCTGATTCACAGACTGCCTAACAGGAGCCTTCGCAAAATAATGAGAGAAGAAAATTGTCTTCATTAGGAGAGTGTGAGAATCAAGAAACCTAAGTTTCAGGCGAACGATGAAAAGAAGAGCTTAAGAAGCATTCTGTAAGAACTAAGGTTCAATGATTTTCGTCTGTCATTAGAAGACATTTCCAGATGCTGATTGAATGTAATATTGTTTAGACAGTCTTGGGTTAAATGACTAAGTGTTTTCGGCTAAAAAAAACCCCATCTACTTCAGGTTATTTGATGGGCTTATACTATAGGGATAAGTCAGCCAACATTGAAATACTTATATCAAGATCATGGGGTTCGTTTGAACTAAATACTAATAGTATACAACAGTACAGTACAGGAACCATATGAGTCCCGTCGATATTTTCGTCTGCAGTTCGATCATTTGTCTAAGTAAGCTTTGAACTGTAGAAAAATCAGTTTATTTCTATAGATTTTCATTGACAAAAATAGTGACACGTGAAGACGTGACTGTCTCATTTTTCTTCACTCACAGACAATATCAGTAGTGTAAAGAAATACATTCAGATGTATTAACGAGTTTGAAATTATCTTTTTATTGGATGGAATCAAAAAGCATCAAAACTTTTTCTTGAAGTGAAGAAATCCGTCCTTTCACGAACAGTAATTTATACAGGATAAGATTGAGTAGGCGACAAATATCTATGAACATTTGAATGGTTGTGTATAAGCAAGATTTTGTACATTTGTTTAACTGATATTCTCACAAATAATGTCCAAGGTATGAGTGAACAACTTAAATACTATTTCGATTGTTCTATAACGATAGCAAAAAGTGAATGATATGGAGCCATATAGATGAGTTTATACACTATACACTTTTTGTATAAAGACATTAGAACCTATTAAACATTCAAGTTAATCCATTAAAAATGTGAAATCTGGATATTATTCTTTTTAATATTATTTTCCCTTACAAATTATTGATTTATGGTTTTTGATTGGTTGATTACTTTAAAGATAACTATCGTTTACAGTTACAATATACTTACACTGGTTGTTATTTTTTCTACCTAATATTCTATAAAGTCAACCATGATCAGAAGATTCTAGTAGGAAAAATTTTAGAAAATCGGGAAATTGAAGAAAGAATATTACATTCTAGTTCGAAGCTATGCATCAGCTAGTCTTACACTTGACACCTATTTTTTTTTATTAAGCTCGCTGGAGCATTTCAAAGTTCAAGTGTTCATGTAGGCCCATATTCCTGAAAGATTTCAAACTTTAAGGACACATTCTTCCTGATTTCAGTACTTAATTATCTTGAAATTTAACATTCTGTACAAATTATGTGACTAAATCATATAATATATTATATATATATATATATATATATATATATATAAAGGTGGGATCCCAAACCAGGAATCTAACAATGGAAAGACTGATTTAAATGTTTTAAGTATTGAATAGTAACCAACATTCTATATTTGAAATATGAGGTTTGAAGAACATGATTTGTGATCTGAAATAATGTGATCTATTTTATTTTTTTTTTATTTATTAATGATACTATTGTCTTGTTGAAAATCACAATCAAGTTATTCTATACCAGATGACAAACTATGATTTTTAAAAAAAAAACAACATGAAACCATTAGAATGGATCTCTATGATGATCTTGTAGAAAGTCAATAAACAAATTTGTATGTTGCGCACAATTGAAAAATAATTAAATAAATAAACCTACCGTAAATCCACATTGAGGGCACATTAAAAAACAGCCTAAATGTAAGAGTAGATGCGCTTTAACTGAACAAAGTGATGGTTGATTAGCAAATAACAATTGGCCGCATAGACCACATTTTGTATGATTTAATGGTGGACTACCGATAAGATGTTCAATAAGTGATTTATGATTATTCGTTCGAAATTTACAAATTAAACAACGTAATATCCCAAACTTTTGATCCGAATTGGATATCATTGATTTCGGTTTGCATATATTATCAGACGTTCGGCTGACTGTTGTATTTGTAGAACACATTGAAGCATGATGATCATCATATTTGGAAGAAATCAATGAACCCAGAGCCTGATTCAAATATGTAATTGATGGAGCGGAAGGTGGTAGACAAGTATCACACAGTTCTATATGTACAGAGAAAAAAAGACAAAATAGACTGCTTGAACAACAAATTATTACTTACAAACAGTTGGCGGAAAGTAGAACAATATTCTTTTATATCTTCAGTTTAGCAGTTGGATGACAGACCATAACATTAACCCTGGTTACTGTTCCATATTATATTGCGTATCAGTATATTAGTCACTGTCATCAAAAAATCCTAGCACAAATGCTTGTAAGCCCAGATTTCCGCATCATATTACCACAAAAAAGATGGAATCGACAAGGTAATCAGCAAATGGGTCTAAGTAATGTACTATCAATCATAACGAGAAACATTTAAGTGTGATTGTCGTTCAGAAAGATATGATATCTATACAAGAATACTGAAAATCATTATCTTGCACAAAAGAAAGTGAGTGCTTCTATGTCACTGTGATTGATTATTCGGAAACATGTCGATCAACCACCACTCCCACTCTTCACAATAATCGCATGGACACCTAACAAAGTAGTCTCCGTTGTCAATATGACTCAAAACAATAATCATTAATTTCTTGAACTGATCCCGTGTCTTGATTTGACTATTCCCAGTCTTCGGACCCGCTTCCTACACCAACCATTGTTTCACGTTAATTTACAACTGTCGTTAGTCATGCGTAACTCATGTACCAGCCACCCCAGTCGAAGTCGATCCACAACCTCACCACTACTCAACGGGTTGTCCCACGATACCCAAGCACTTCTTTGAGGACATTTATGGTCCAAAACTTGTAGTCCTCGTCGATCTTCGACTTATACAGACTATGATGACCTTGGGTAAATAAGTGATAGGTTTATTCACTATAGAGAGTAAAAGCATGGAACCCATTTATTATGCCGACTTTAAGGTAACATGTGGACACTTTGGCTCTAATTCGTAAGTCAAAGCCCCAACCGCGTCTGCATTTATTTGAGTAATCGATTAGTGATATATTTTCCCAAACAGGTATGCTCAGCTAAACTGATGTACATAGATTTATTCCAGATAATCGGTTCAAAATAGAAATTTATTTAGCGATAGAGAAATTTTTAATTCCTAATTGCAATTGATATCTCAAGTTACACAGAATCTGAGCACTCTAATCAGTTAGTCATTTAACATTATAGGATCTGGCAAAAAATTGCATCAGTTTAATTTACTACTACTACGCTTCATATGAGCAGAAAAAAAATTACTAAGGTCTACAGAAAACATATGAGTGAAGATAATCATATTATTACACTAAAAGTAGGCAAAATTAAGCAGAGAGGTGGAAGGATGAGGGTTTGAAACAGGAAGAAAGGGATTAGCGATTAAAACATATGAGATAATATTAAAATACAAGAATTAAATAATGAAATACATCTGAGTCATCGAGATTGTGGACCGTTGGCTCAGTAATTAAGACGTTTAGTTTTAGCCATTGAGTCTCGAGTTTCAGCCCCGTCCCAACTACTTCGCAGTTTAGGTGATTGGTTACCAGTATCATTAGCCCTTACTTATAGGGTATGGCTGTTCATAACATAAGAACCTAGTGAATAAGTCAAATTACAATGTTGTGATTTCGAGCAATGTACATCAGGAACTAAAATTACTAAACAGGATTATCACACATATCCAAGCCAAGAGGGCTGCACACCTCTTGAAAGGGTTCAGATTAACTAATGACTGGCGAATTAATGGGCTGATCTTACCTTGGAGCAACTAATTAATTCGCCCAACAAATGTTACTCAAAGGTACGCGACCTATTGAAACCCGCTACCCACTGAAAAAAACCAATTTTTTCTAGGGAGAATAAATCATTTTTTGTCGAGACCATGAACCGAACAATGTCAAATCACCATTGAAAACCTGGAAGTACAAGACGGCCATTTCGTTCTAGTATGGGACTCCTCAGCAGTGTGCATCCAAGATCCTGCACGTAAGATTCGAACCCACGGGCTCGTGCGAACGCCGCTGAGCTGAGATCGAGCGCTGTTAATGTCTAGCTCCACGATATTGCGCGATCATCCAGGTTTCCAATGGTGGTCTAACATTGATTGATTCGTGATCTCAATAAGAAAACCCAACAATCTTCACAACCTTATTTACTGATAAGAAGAAATTAAATTAACATACTTGGTAAAGGCAATGGCTTCGTTAATATTCTGCTCTGAAAATTCCTATCAATGACACTTTTGTCGCTACTATTAGAATTAATATTACTGTGAAAATCACGTCCATAATCACGACTACGGTCCTCATCATCACCATCATCGTCATCATCACCGTAATCATCATCATCATCGTCATCGATACTGAATAAAATATCTGAAGAGTTATTCTTCTTATTATTAGCAGCATAGCAACACATAAAAGTACTCCACTTGTCAACACCTCCACTTTCATTCGATGACGACTTATTTGAATTATTACTATTATTATCACACCAATTCGATAAGAATAGATGACTTTGCCAAATATCAGAATTGGCCAGACTAAGAATAATACGAAATAATAAACTGTCGGAACTAGGCAACTTCGGTAGATGCAAGTCATAATGCAATTGACGATGATGAATATTGTTGTCAGTGGTAGTTTCATTGGTTATTTGTTTTTGACAATGAATTACTATCGGTTTGTAAATACGTTGTAAGGAATAGAACTTTTCAATGATAATATTATCATCATAATCACTTGTACTGATGATAGGAGAATCTGACAATGAATTATAATCATAACTATTCTTGTTATTAATATTCAGTGATGTTGACAATGATGGATGAAGCAAGTCAAAATTATCTAGGCCAGATATATTGCTATATTAAAGAAAAGAAAAATCGAGTACAATGTATGATAGATAAATAAAAGACTATTATTATGGACTAAAATAAAAAACATTTGTAGTAGTAAATAATTAGAGATGATAATTGTATGATGCTGTAGTAACTAATTGGATAAAAAAAGGTAGGAGGAGTATACCAAATGATCCATTTCTCTCCTATTGCCCTCCACCAAATGATTGGTTTACCCATGAGGTTGATTTTACAATCCCAACAGAATATATAGGACTAGTGACCACCAACAAGCTGAATACATCTAATAATCATTATTAATTAGTAAATATATTAGAAGCACTGCTCGTGTGTCATTAAAAGATCAAGTGAATAATAATGAGGTTACGCATAGGGTACTAGACAAATATCATTGATTAATTGATGAGGTTGTGGATCGACTTCGACTGGGGTGGCTGGTACATGAGTTACGCATGACTAACGACAGTTGTAAATTAACGTGAAACAATGGTTGGTGTAGGAAGCGGGTCCGAAGACTGGGAATAGTCAAATCAAGACACGGGATCAGTTCAAGAAATTAATGATTATTGTTTTGAGTCATATTGACAACGGAGACTACTTTGTTAGGTGTCCATGCGATTATTGTGAAGAGTGGGAGTGGTGGTTGATCGACATGTTTCCGAATAATCAATCACAGTGACATAGAAGCACTCACTTTCTTTTGTGCAAGATAATGATTTTCAGTATTCTTGTATAGATATCATATCTTTTCGAACGACAATCACACTGTGTAGTGTTTCTCATCGTCTTTGGTATTTTATCTTAATAATTACAACCTTGTGTGGTAATGTGATCTGGCGACTTCTATTGATGAACACTATTGTCAGATACTATGTTGACTACGACTTATTGATTATTGTCTCTGATTAATTCCTTGTATTCATCGACGATAAATCAGTTACCTGATTTTTCGTAGAAATATCTTAGTTGTGTGAACCTATTGATATTTTAAAATTATGGTACATTGTAGTCTTGTAGGTTTTTTGGCAAAATCACACGATTTATGAGTCTAGGAAACAAAAGAAAGCTAAGACCAAGTGTCCTAACTAATAAAAAACTTCGAAAATAAGAACTTATGTAGCCTATTGATTGAGTGATAAATTAGAATGAAATGTTTGCAATAAGTGACCATTTTGTAATAACCAGCTCTTGATACTTTTTGGATTTTATCGATTACGAGACCATTTGCACGGACACAACACCACATGGACCGCATATATCTCTTAATATTGCGAATATGTATTGATGATAAGTACTAACTAGAACTAAACTGGGCTGTGATACTGCCCGGGTGCCCAAACCGAAGCAGGTGGCTTTCTTAGGGGGCCACACCCCGAGCCTTCGACCTGAAGGTATGATCCACAAGGCAGTGGAGCATCGTGAGGAGATGCAGTCCCATGGTAGCCGGTGACCAGCAATTGGTTCATACGCCATTTGTTCCCACAGGATACTGGAGCCCATGTACACCATTGGTTTGGGATCCGGTTAAAGCGCCGGACATTCGCCTTTCGTCCTCTCATTTTCGTAAACAACACCCCTGCCACGAGAAGGCAGTTAGTATGACTTCCCTGGCAGAGCTGTATACGCGTGGCTGTGTGAGAGCATTTCAAGAGGGGGGCGGGCCCACCCCACTCTCGGCCATACCAGGCATTTGGGGGCACCCACGCCCTTTCGGACTGGCATAGATACTTGTTATATTTTGATTAAGATCATGAATCCATTGATATAAGACCACCATTGGAAACCTGGAAGCACTGGACGACCATCTCGTTTTAGTATGGGACTCCTCAGTAGTGCGCGCCCACAGTCCCGCTCGCGGGATTCGGACCCAAGACCTTCGGTCGCGTGCGCGAACGCTTAACCTCTTACCTCCAGGTTTTAAATGATGATCTAACATCAATCGATTCATGATCTCAACCAAAAACTTAACAATCTCCACAACCCCCTACTGATACTTGTTATTAGTAGGGAAAATTATTCAATAAAAAAGAATCAATTTCCCTTCGTTTATCTCCAGAGAACGCAGTCATCATAGTTCTTAATAGTCAATTTAATACTAATGACTAAAGTTGAAGGAGCTATAAAGTATTGTGTATGAAGACTTAAAATGAATAATCCCTGAAATTATTCTGATGTGATATATTAGCAGATTGACTTATCCTTCCTAATAAACACAATTGCATAACCAAGACCAAAAAAATCTTAGGATAACTCCACTGAACTCAAAATAAAAAGAGAGAGCGCGAGAGAGAAATTAGATTTGATGACATGATAAGCTTTCGATAATTCATCAGTATGTTTCTTTTGAATTTCATAATATAACTGAAATATACAAATAAATGACTAAATTATAAATAAGAAAAACAAATGATATGACAAATGAACAAACTTGAGACTTTGATGAAGATCACTGAGAATTCCTGATAGACATATATGATTAGAGAATGGATCAGATGGAAATCTGTCAGACTGATTTGAAAGTTGATTTAATATCTTCTCTTCTGTAATAATAATGACGATAATTCAAATAAACATGAAAAACGAATAAAGATATAATAACAAATCGTTAAAAGAACTAGCCAACTTTTTCACACAAAAAATTCTTCACTTAGATATTGATTTAACATACGACATCAAATAGTACAATGACAGAATCTAGTTGAATTGAAAAATGTGAATAATTAACGATATTTTTTTATCTGATTGAATTTTCTCCGCTGATTTTTCAATCCCTCTTGAAGTATTTGCAGATGAAATCGTATCAATAACTAAGCAATTCACCTAATACATATTATACATTGATTCAAGTTGTCACAAAATATCACCACAGAGAGGTGAGATTATCAAGACAAATGTTAAATCAACTAAAGTTTGAAATGCTAACGACTAGATTTTGACTTACTGAACTGAAGTCATTGTTGTCGAGGTGCTACAGTTTATCAAAATCAGTACTACTATAACCACGAAGAGAGGGATTATTGTAATGTTTTATGCTTTATTTTATTACGATCTTTGTAACGTAGCAACTCGAAGTAATTCACATCTTTTTTTTATCTTTCTATCTTGTATAGTACTACACACACTGTGATTTCTACTCATGTCATTGTCTTTTCTTTAGATAAAAAAGTACTTTTAAAAGTCCCATCTTCTCGTTTATTATCCCCATGAAGGTTTTGGTTATTGAAACACTTACATAATGATTATTCGATCTATATGCGTAGATCTACTCTTCATATTCGACGTATCTCTGATCGTTCGTATTTTGGAGACAATCAGAGAGTATAATCACAATGAATAACAATCAAAATAATAAATTCCAAACATATCACATAGCTTTGTCAGTCTTTATGTTTTCATTCCATCCTATTAAAGGAACTGATTGTTTTACATTGAAACTAGTTAGATGTTTAGATTTCTACAAACATTTATTTTATTTATTAACTTGTGTTTAAATTAACATTCAACTAGTGTGAAACGAATCGTTCAAATTATGACGTAAATCCACGCAGAATAAATTGATTATAATAAACTTTCTAGAATTTTATACCTATTATCCAAGAATGAAATTTGGAAAGTAACAACTGAACTAAACGTTTATGATTCTAATCTCTAAAAAATAATCATTACAAGTAGATTCGAAATATAGAACAAATAACAAACGGAAGTGCTTTCAAACTATTCAGCCACACATATACACACAATCATCAAATCAATCACTACTGGTTATATTGAGCAAGAATTAAAATGAATTACACGTCAGAGTAAATAACAAACAACTGTTTCATTTACACATTCAACAGAACAATATAATATCTATCTTTATCTGTTCAGCAAAAATTTTATTTAAAAAATGAAACATACTTGGAGCATTTGATAATAAATCTGAAAGTGATGAATTTTTTAAATCTGCACTTGTGATAGATCCTCTTAAAGAGTACATAGTAAGCAATGATGGTTCCAATGTCCATAAACCCATTTGATTAGGATGAGCCGATGTGAAATGACTGAATATAGCGCAATGATTGTTCGCTTTTATGATATAACCAGGTAGAATTGAATAAAATTGAAAATCAGTAACATTTTTATGGTTGGTAATTTTTTTATTCTTGTTGTTAATAGCAGTATTAGTAGTCGTTGTCGTTGTCGTTGCAATACTAGAATCTGTACCAGTTGTTACGTTGGGAAGTAACATGGAATTTACACTATTTGCATTGGTTGTAGACACATTATTATTACTATTCAACTGTATGCAAATGTGACATCGATAATACACATGGGCTATTGAACGATTCAAATGACATTCATATACAGAATTACTGGTAAATGTTAATCGGCAACAAAGACAAATATGAAGACCCTTTTTAATCCCATTAAAAAAAGCAGATGAAATAAATGAGGAGAAAAAAATAACAAAAAATGAATTATCCACAATTATTGAAGAGTAACTTCAATGAAAAGATAACACAAGTAATCGGAGAATTATTAAATATTGACGAGTATTGCACTACTTAGTCAGTAAAACAACTCGACACAGAATCAATATCTAGACCTCACTTGACAAATATAGGCTTATGAACTCAGCTTTGAGGAGCACTAGTTGTGTGGGAGTTAGCTGTACTATTTACCATTTTTAATGAGGTACGTGAAGCGGTGTTAGCAGAACCTAAAACCAGTAAGCTACTACTCAGATCAAACGTGGATTTAACTAACTAAAAGCGGTTCAGATCCTTACATTTGTGAGACTGAAGTGTGATGCCATTTGTATTCAACGTTATCGGTGAGCTACTGTCCCACTCTTCCGGTGTGATTTACTATTATACAGAACCTCGTGATTATTTTAAACTCACTATTGTAAATAATTTATCAACTGAATATCTATGGTATTACTTTTGAGTTCCAACTACTTTAACCGTAATGAGGATAGGATTTAAAACGACAGTCTACTGGTCTATGTTAAGCACATGATTACAGTGTTTCGCATATATATATATATATATATATATATATATATATATATATATATATATGCAAAAATGAATAAATTTTAACACACAATGAATCTAATATCATTCAAACGAACCAACTAATTAAGTTTAGTCAAAAGAAAAAGTACAGTTAGAACAGGGTGAACAACACAACTCGAGCAATAGCTCCTTACAGTCAGAATATAATGAATCAAATGTATGTGTACAATTAAATTTCACTAATTGTCTAAATAATCGATGAAGACAACTAATCACAGAGCAAGTCATAGTAAAATAAGAAGTACAAAGGTTTTGTGTACACTGTAGAGAATTTGTATACATATACATTATCGGCAGTAAAGGGGAGTGCAATGAAGCAACAGAAAAAAAACCCAGCAAATTACAATGTGTGGACACATACATAGACACATAGAAAACCAGGTTAATTAGTTGGATGAGAGCAGATAGTAGTTAACAATAATAGCTTCATAAAGTAGAAGACAGACACATCAACTCGGAGAGGAGAAACTGACATAATTTACCTCATCTATGAATATCTGATTCCATTGAAACTACTGAAGAGATTATCGAGAGAGAGAAACACTTATTATTGTTTTCACGTCTACGCTAAGGATCCAATTGTAAATTTAGTAACCAAATTTTTAGGTTCATAGTAAACGACCTGCATGCCAGTGGGATGATTCTCCAAATTACCAGTCAACATATGTTTGTCCTTCATTCATTTAATGTACGGTATTAAATACAGATATATATTACATATACATAGATATTACGTAAGATGGATTACACTAATATGGGGAAGTAAAGTGAGGAAATATACACAACCGGAGAGTATTTATTCTGTAGTTAATTCTTTTGAGGGATACTAAGAAGGATTAACTGAACGATTATTTTTATGATATTTAATTGTAGGGTTTCATTTGATTTAAGAATTCCAGTTTTAGCTTTTTAGCAGCTTAAAGAAAATATCGGTTAGTTAAGTAAGAAAAATGTCTTGTAGTTTTGTACTCTATAGTCTTGTATGTTATCGGTAATAATTGATGTTAACTATAAATTGAGGCAATTAATACACTTGTGACTATTTGGTTTAACACCTTCTGGCAGTCTGGTTGGGAGGAAGAGGTCGAGAGAAGTATGAAGAGATTTTCATGACATATATGAAAATTATGTAGAAATTTATACTGACAAAATGTGAAAGATTTAATATGCAAAGTGAAAATAAAATTGAGAAATGTAATAATAAACCGGAGACTAGGTCCTTATTCGAATCTATAGATTAGGGAAGATGTAAGTAACCAAATGGGGTATCAAACTGTCAGGCACTACAACCTACCCGTGTATCCAAAACATGGTCGTAAAAGTTTACGTATTTCTTTTAGGGTCTAACCGTTGGATTTAGTGAATATACCACAGCGATGTATTTGAATCACAGAACAGCGAATGGCATTATATCTAGTTGTCGTATGAGCGTGAGAATACTAAACCATCAACGACAACTATCATGTTAGAAAAATACAACTACTCGAGCAGGATATCAAACTGCGTGACACTGCATCTTACCCTCTAACCGGCATAATGGTTAGAAGGCATGACCTTTCGCGTACTGTTTCACACACAATAGCAGCCAGGGTTTTATTATTTTTGTGTTTGCCGAAAATAAACAAGATCTGAGTGCATATTGTGCTCATGTAAACTGGCCGTTTTAAGTGATGTGTAGTTCGTTTCTTCAAGTACAGTCAGCTCAAAATCTTAGTCGAATATCCATTGTGCTCACGTAAACTAGCCATCTTGAGTGTGAAGTATGGTTCGCTTCTTCAAGTGCAACTTTCTTGAATATTTTGATCAGTTTTTAGCTTCAGCTTTTCTCCTGATAAGTCAATCAATTTTCTTACCTAGTTGGTAGGAATCTGTACCTCTGTATTATTGTAGGATATATAACAACTAAACATGATAATGAACAAATGAATAGGTTTCCGGAATTGAATAATTTGATTAAATTGAGTTGCGTCTTTATCAATGACTAATAATATCAACTAGAGAAACATTGAAAGCAACAGAGTAATGGACAGTTGTTTCGCTCTCATTTGAGACATTTAAGCAGTAAATGTCAACAACAACACATGAGATTTAAACTATAATCTACAGCTCTTATGATGAGAACGATAACCATTAAATAATACTATACATGTTTGCTAATTTATTGAACTGTAAATTACTTACAAAATACAAATAAAAATACATATCAAAGCAGATAGAGGGAGAGAGGTATGAATTGACTATCTAAATTTTTTGAAACAATAAGCCACTAAGTTCACCTATAGTAACTATGCTAGTAAATTTCAGGATACATACATACATACATTTCACTCATGTGACAAATTAATTTATGCATTAGAAATGAAATATTAGGAGATGCTTACTTTTTTTGATGATAGATTCAATGGTGAAGTTGACAGATGAATTTTTTCAATTTCGCTTTGAACTCTAGATGGTGATAGCTATCAAAAATAAGGGATTATTTATTTTGGTAAGAAATAAAATTTATGTTTCAATTACAGATATTCATGTATTTAATATTGCAAGTTGAACATTACATGTGAGAACTGTTGATGATAACCTAGTTAACTAAACTGAAGTAGATTAAGTGAGGTCTGAACATTGGACTTTGTGGTTAGAAACCAGACACACATTAACCATTAGACTATAACATTAAGGTAAGATACTATACGAGTGTTTCAAATAAAGTAGACGAAGATAAGTTTGACCTGGGATTCAACTGTTGTAAGTCAAGAACTTTGATCATTAAATCACTGCTTCAAATGACTTAGTTGATCTAGGATATTTTGTCAAGAGATTTTATTTTAAACAAAGAAAACCACTCAGTACAATGGAATACAAGTATGCAATGATAAATTTTCTATGTAATAAAAGTAGTGACGACAAAAAACTGGTACCCGTAAAAATGTCACTGAAAAGACAAAGGTCCTATAATTAAAGGTCTATTACGTGGAAACTGACTAGATCAATTGTATCGACAAACTATTCAACAAATATAATTGATTATGAACTTGGAATGGTTTTACAGTAGTCGATAAACTCATTGTCGCCAAATATACACTAACACACTGTTGAAATACAAACTAACGTAAAATTTTCTAATGTCGTAATGCGAGAAAAAAAGATGGTTCTTGATAAGAGAACTTTTTTATTTTCAGAAGATAACAACATCAGTAGACATTACCATATATATATATATATATATATATATATATATATATATATATATATATATATATATATATATATATATATATAGGCAGATGTCTTCAGCCTAGAGACTAGCACAGATATATGTTGGCCAAAATTGTCGAACCATAATTAGCACGACGAAATGAAGATCACAAAAGAGATCGAAATAATGCAGTAGCGATCATAGAAAGAAAGACTAGAACCTCAGGAATATGATCAAAAAATAAAAGGCGAAGTGAAAAGGTATGTGCGAGAGAATATTGGAATTCAAGATAATTACCTATAAGAATTATGTAGCGTTTGTGAATATAACAACAAGCTTGCAAAGTGATAATAATAGAAAGAATGAAAAGTCACGTACTAACTATCACCGTGTCAATCCAGAAAAGGTAACGCTAATAATATTGGTATTGCTTATCGGTAACCGTAACCCTAATCCTAATCAATGTGTATGGGATTTCATAAAAATGATCTCTGTTGTTATTATTAAACATAAGCTTAGTAAGTCTATGATAAAGATCAACTACATATTACATCATTTATCTAGATTAACGATAATTCTTTCTTTTTCCTAATTATAAAAAAGGAGTAATTTGAAACTAGAATAACTCACTTGTAATGCAAGACTATCGTCTGTTTTAGTCATTTGACAGATTTGTCTTAACACTGAATTTGAACTTTTAAATGTACAAAGTGTACCTAATCCAGGAAGCATTAAATCACCATCTGCACGACGATATATACGACCCCATAGAACTCCATCGAAAGCACTTTCAATTATTGGATCAAAATTATTGTCAATAATGGGAGCGGTAGAGCTAGTAGTAGTCATAGTTGTAGCAGAGGTAGAACATACTTTAACATGAATTTGTTTGTCTAAAACAGGAACACCAGTTGTCGTTGAGACTGTCTGTACTGTTGTTGCTGCTGCTCCTGATGAAATTGACTGTATTTTATTGATATTACTGACAGGTTCTGTAGAACTACTCTTACGTATTGTCGACTATACCCAATAAGAATGAAATCGACAGAAAAGATATAACAAATTAACTATATATATAAGGGGTAGCTTTCTAGTTAAAGCACTCAGACTTCAACAATTAAGTGAGAAATTCAAATCATACTCAACCTACTAAGGTTTGAGTAAATGAGTAGTATTACTAATCCACATAAAGAAGTGTGCCTCAAGATCGAATATATAAACTTATGTTTGATAAATAAGTCAAAGATGAAAAGAGAGTTGAAGTATGTAGTGATAGTTAGTAAGCCTATAACTAAGTGTTGATTTGTGTATTCGGTGAAACGAACCATATTTTATTATATACAGTGAAAGATAAAAATACTACTGAAATGGTCACAGTGAAAGAATGACAATGAAAGTTACACACAAAAAATACTCTTCATAATTCCCTAGGTGATATTCATAATTTAGAGTCTATCAACTTGTATCTGATGTCCAGAAGAAAAAAGTGTAACTTTTATCATCATTCAAAATTACTTAGGATTTTAGTGAAATCAAAAGATGATTTTGTTATTTAGATCACTTGTAAAACAGTTTGTAAAATTTACTATTTTATATAATCGGTTTTGTACATAGTTGTTTATATGAGATTTGTCTACACAGTCTCTCCTTTGTTTTTATTGTTTCTGTTGGCTTATTGACAATTGAGTAATGTTTATTAGTTACCTTGTTTTATGCACTATATCTATACATCTAATTAGTTTATTTATTTATTTATTTTTCACGATGAATCGTATAAATCATCTACTTGAAATTTATCTTTGAATTAACTGAAACTAGATTAAGATGAAGTTCTCTTTCGTTTCACTACTCTGTTCAATAAGAGTTGATGTTAGAAATATTGACGCAATTATTTATCATATCACAATTAATTCATAGCCCTGATGTTATGAATGAGACTGAATGTATAATTCACAGAAATTAGTTATCTTTATTTCGATGATATTATTAGCAAATGGGTTTTTCCATGATGTGATCTATTGGATTTATCAAAATTAGATTGAGTCAAATTAATCTAATGTGAAGCCGTGACCAGTAGAGCCCAATCCATGTCGGGTATGAGATAGTTAACCACCGCAAGCAATGGATGAGGGTTGTGTAATATCGTCAACAGATTGAAGGTAGACATTAACATTGTTGAATGCCAGCTCAGTGGTCTAGAGGTTAAGCGCTCATAAACGAGACCGAAAGTCCTGGGTTCAATCGTGGATCTCTACTGACGAGGAGTCTCTTACAGGGATGAAACGGCCGTTTAGTGCTTCCATGTTTTTAATGGTGGTCTAGCTAAGATCAGTTCCTGAATTAAACTTAGGTAAATTACATCTCCAGTATGGCACTTCATAAAACTGTCAATCTGCAATTAAAAATAGTAGTATGCTCCGTTATGTCAACTGACCAATATAACACAGACAATAATGGGGAAGGATGGTATAGATTAAAAATTTATCACACTCATTAAATTTTAATCTGTTAATAAAAAACAAGGGTATTTTAAAAAGTAATGAAAGACGTAATTGATACGGCGGAAATTTCGAAGAAGTATCAGTTTGAATATTATAGCAGTCAAAGTGCTTATGAATTTCACAAATCTTAAAAGGGACTAGCAGAGTTCACGAAGTTCATTCAAGATGTATAGTGCAATCACTATAATCACAACAACCAATATAGTCATCAACAATTTCAACATATTTTCCCAAAAGATAAGCAGAAATTAACACTGATAATGAAATAGTTCTCGAACTCCACACCTCAACAATCAATTCATTTGTAGAAATCAAATTACCCTAAACCCTTACGTAAACTTTCTTCCATTGTATACAAATGTAAGCTGGAATTTATAAAACAACCATATCGACTAAATAAATATAAAGCATTTTCTTCATTGACAGGATCAGTTCCGATCCAATTTCAAATCCAGTTGTAGCATTAAAAAAAAAGCATTTTAAGTATGTTCCACAGATGAAGTTTCATTTACTTAATACCGAAAGAAAGAAATCAATGCTGATGAGATTTATTAAGTGATTATATATTCATTATTCAGCAACAACAACAACAACAACAACAACAAAATTACGGTTTCTTCAATTATAAATAGTTTAATGGGAATAGGAAAAATTAAGGGAATAAAATACTAATTATATTCATTGATTCCATTCAATTCAACTTGATAATAAAAGTGAGTCAATTCATTTTATATAGACTACTATTTGACAATAAATACCATTCAATGAAATACGCTGTTGAAAAAGAGATTAAGCTGTCGAACATACGTATGACGTATTGAGTATACTAAATTTTTTTTTTGGAATAAAAACGTTGATATCCCTTTATATTAGTTTGTTATTTTTCCAACAAAAAACAAAACTGTATATTCAAATATTTGGTGATAATAGAAAAAAAAAATTAATTTCAGCACTAGTTAACCTACTTTAATAAGAGAATGTTGATGCGATGATTCATATGATGAATGAGCAAGTTCCCTAGGAATAGAATTCTTATTTGAAAGATGACTTGTACAAGAGCTACCAACGTTAGGATGAATAACTGTTTGTGAAACAATATTATTATTATTATTATTATTGTTATTATTATTATCATTTCCATGAGTGCGGTTTTCGACGTTGAAGGAGTTAGAGATTATTCTGCTAATGTCATCAGTTGATTCAATAGTTGGGTTTAGTGTTATCATTGATGGTTGAATATGAATTGGTAGGTTAGATGGTAGATAACTTGATGTTGAGACAGTTGAAGTTGAAATTGTTGGTGAATGCTGAGGAGCTAGGAGATATTTGTTATTATGATACAATGGATGAACAGGGTTATGGTTAAATGCATTGCAAACTGTTGGTCCAGATGATTGTAATATCGAAGGATTCCCGCTGCCAGGTAAAAATCCATAAAACGCATTGTTACCTATAGATGACGAATTAATGGTCTCGTTCAAAGGAAAATGAAGACGAGTGCTTACAAGTGCACTAGATGAAGAGTTTTGAATGTGTATGGGATTAGGTAATGTTTGATTTTGATGGAACTACCGAAAGCAAAAAAATGTGTACGTATAAGAATAATGACAAAGTTGAATAAATTCAAGCAATACTTATTACTATGGTAAAGATCCAAAATACCTAATACATTATATCAAGAATCTATTGGGTGAAATGAATTCAACACAAATCATATCTTTTGGTTAGTATGTTTCTGTGCTTCACTGAGGATTTTGATCATTTATGAAACTCAACTTTATTCATTTAGTATTCAAATACACTTAATAATTAATTTGTTGGATTTTGGATTTTCCAGTGCGAAATTTATTTGCTTTTTACAAACATAAGCTATCAGCAATCATTGCTTTTCAGTTCATGTGACTCACCAATTATAGGTTTATGTACAGTTTTGAGCTGAGTCGCTCGTCTTCATCCTAGTGATAATACCCGACTGTCCAAACCGAAGTAGCTAGAGTTCAAACCTAGAAGCCAACAGCTAGAAATCGAGTGCTCTAATCATTCAATAACTGCTCAACTGTTGCCGAATACAGATTGAGACTCAACTTTTATGTTGTAACAAACTGTAACTCATATAATCATGAACAAGTCTATTGGAAAATTTAATTTGAATTTATGATAGGTGGCGATAGAATGAGCTAACAATGAAGTTGAGCATGGTCATAAACTTATTAGAATTTTTCCACTTGTCTATAGCATAAAATCACTCGAATAAAAGTCTACAAAATTGAAATAAATGAATGAGAATAGATTAAACTAAAAGGTGATGAGGAGTCCTACAGAGTATCCAGTACATACATTGGTCAGAAGTAGATTTTGAGGTAAACGTGTAAATATTCACTTGTGCAGTATCTTATTTATGGGAGCAAATAATCATTTCTAAATCGCAACTGTACTTCGGTAGATGAACATTATGACTTTTGGTCGTGTTGTAGAATTATAGTTGTTAAAAAAATCGAGTCGACGCAACACAAACGAATGTAGAAGGCAATACATATCCTAACTGTTAGGATCTTACTATTAAGATAATTCTGAAAAAATTCGTTGGGAAAACAATGAAGCCTATGTGTTTAAATAAATAATTTAGTCAAGAAAACGATCTTGTTACAACTCAGTGGAACGATAATGCAATCCAAGCTTCAAATTAAAAAATATGAAAGGACAATGACTACATAGAGGTGTGTCTTAAGGTTTTGATCTGATCCCACAAGATGTCGTTCTACATAGTTTCGCCCCAATGCTCACATAATTTTGGACCAGACAGCGTAAATTCGAGTCAATTGCAGTTTATAGAGACATATATTTCATAAAACTACCGGAAGGCGAAAGAGAGCAACCAGATAAACGCCGTAACAGAATATTCGAAACAAGGCAAAAAATGTGTACATCCTTAGTTGGTATGAGAAACTAACACAATACGCATTATTTAACCGTCTAGCTAAGCATTCAAGCGTATACAATATAAGACTATGCAACATACAAACCAAGAATAGTTTACACAACTCAATGGCTTTCAAGAGGCTAGTGAACTGTTCAAGGGTATACAAATTGGTGTTACTACAACGAATTAATGACTGAGAAAATTTAAGAGAGAAATTTATCTGCTATGAAAATTATGGAGTAATCTAGTGCTATTGTTTGACCCGTTTAGTAAAATCTCTAAAAACACTGGATTAACGTTTTCATCATTATTACAGTACTAACATGGTCAATAAAATGTCAAGAAAGGTTCTACTACTAGTAGTTGTTCAAGTGTACTAAATGCCTATCAGCAAATATCAAAACTTTTGGTATGCTCTTTCCAAAAAGTGTAGTTTTACTATAAGACAGTTCTAGAGAACGATGTGTAATGACTACGTGATCTTTTACGAATACTATGACTACTTCAGTCCTATGTCAAGCTCGTGAATACTAGTAGCACTGAAAAATAGTAATAAACATTATATTCAAAGCGTTATACTCATATAAATACCTGTTGTGGTGGATATGAAGGAAATACGCCAGACAAAAGAACAGGAGTTAAAGTACTGACGGTAGTAATGGTAGGAGAACAATTTTGCAAAGTCGATACATTATGCAACATTAAAGGTTCATTGGATGTTCCAGAGATCTGTTGTTGGTAAATATTTGGCCAAGTAAGAGGATGTGTTCCTGGAATATTTAAACGTTCAGCTGTTGAGAAATAAGGTGGTGGGGATATGTAACTAAATGTAGCTCCCAGCTGAATTTGATTGGTTGGTTGGGTGACCTCATGAACAGCTGTAGTGATCTAGAAATAACAATATTTACGTTGAGAATTGATACTTTGTTAGGTGGATGAGATTAGCGAACGAATATAATACCTTAGAGCAAAAAAAGAAATTAATGCTTCATTCAGCAAAACTATGGATGTTTCGACCATATGGAAAGAGTATTCGAAGGCAACATTCTCGATGGAAGTTTGGGATACACGTAAATGTATAATCTCGTGTAGGCAGTTATTTTTATCAAGTAAATTTAATACAGCGATCTATAATGGAAACCTGTAATTTTAAATTGCTCCAGTACTTTACAATTCTAAAACTTCCAAGTTGAAACAGTTAAATTAAATAAATTCCCCCTAAATCTATTCTCCTTCAATAAAACTTACGAATGTCCGATAGCAATGAAGATATTAGTCTCACTGAATACCAATTCTAGACGCCGTTGAATCTCTACATGTCAGATGTTTGCTGCAAAACCGTGATTTAGTGGATTTGGTGGTTGACCTAACCACTGTATGATAGGTTCAAAACCAACTTTACCTGCCATGGCATGGAGAACCGAGTACTGTCAACCCTTGCGCAGTAGCCATAGCTTACAACCTGGTGCGCAAACGTAGGAGCGTTTGTTATTACTGCTAATAGAATCATTATAAGGGTTTTTAATGTAACGACAATTATCGACTTGAAATTGATGTGTACAATACACACCCACAGGAAAAGATAAAACACAAGTATGTACGCCACATGATATCGCATGCCAGAGCCGTCGTTTTTATTATACAAATCAAAAGAAGGTAATATAACGTATAGTGGACTGTAGAAGAGTCGAAGCTGCTTTGTTGACAGAATTTTCATTCAACGTCAGTACTAGTGGTGGAAAAAAAATCGGACATTGTAACACTGGGATATGAGTTTTGACGCATTGCAGCGGCACGAGGCAAGGTGGTAAGTACTCAAGTGTACAGAAGAGATACTGTAGAGGAGTGACAAATGACAAGGAAACAAAGAGAACCGAGCGAAGTGAGGTTTTAAACTACGATACCTACTCTTTCGACAAGTGTAAGGTCTAGGGCCAACTGGGCATCCGAAATGTGAAACTGAAGAAAAAACAATAAGAGTAAGACCTATCAACCAGAAGACAACTAGCGCCTTTGCTGAAAATATCCGATAAATTTGGCCACAGAAAAGAACTGCGTGGTATAGTTATTATGTACATGTAGCTCGAGCATTTTAAGTAATGGATGACACTTTACTAACCGTAGATTCACTTTAAAGTTTTAAAGCATGCTATGCCTTGTTTTTTAGACTAATACATGGATGAACGTAACTAAATTAAGTTGTCAGAGAAAACTCACTGGAATATGTGAATTGTCAGAACAAGTTGACGGGGTTGGGATGGAATCACGTGGTTCTTCCTTTACATCAGATAGTAAAAAATTTCCACGCTGTTCCTGTAGAATAACTTTAGAAACCATTACGTCGTCAGACATTGGGAATGCGACTTGTAGGTAAAACTATTTATAAAACTACGAGCATCCAATGGTATGCCAGTGAAAAGTCCCTATGGCCTTTAGGGTCAGGTTCAAGGTCGAATGGAATATCGCGCAGCAGTGCGAAAAAATCAAGGTTTTTTCAGAGAAGAATGAAAATTATACAAAACAATTGTAACCCAAAGATGACAGACATTCATGCTACTCTGTTTAAGCATTCAAGTTGATATTAATCTCTGGGCAATGGCTGGTCATAGGCGGCACTATATTCCCACATAAACGCATTCACAAAATCACATGGACTTCACCGGATCACACCACGCAAAACCAAATCGACCATATATGCATCAACAAAAAGTTCAGGAGGACGATAGAAGGCGTGAGAACCTGGAGAGGAGCTAATATAGCATCTGATTATCACTTGCTGGTCGCCAAGATGAAATTGAAACTTAAGAATTACTGGACAATGGGGCGGACAACATCACAAAAGCTTAATACGGCTTTTCTTCGGGATACTCACAAACTCAACAAATTCAAGATAGCCCTCAGCAATAGGTTCCAGGCCTTTCATGATCTACTCAATGGAGAAGGAACTACTATGGAGAGCAACTGGAAAGAGATAAAGGAGGTAATCACTTCAACATGTCATGAGGTTCTGGGCCACAAGAAGCACCGTCACAAAGAATGGATCACTGTTGATACACTGGATATGATTTAAGAAAGGAGGAACACGAAAGCAGCAATCAATACCAGCCGACCAAGAGCAGAAGAAGCCAAGGCACACGCTAAATACACGGAAGTAAACAGGCAAGTGAAGAGGAGCACCAGAACCGATAAACATAAAAATGTGGAAGATCTAGCAATGACGGCGGAAAAGGATGCAAGAGAAGGAAACATGAGGCCATTGCATGATACAACAAAGAAGCTCACTGGAAATTATCGTAGACCAGAACGACCAATGAAGAGCAAGGAAGGAGAAGTAATCACCAACATTTAAGAACAGCGAATCAGGTGGATAGAACATATCAAAGAACTCTTGAATCGACCAGCCTCACTGAACCCACCCAACATTGAAGCAGCACCTACGGACCTACCAATCGACGTTGGCCCACCAACAACTGACGAGATCAGCATAATCATCAGACAAATCAAGAGCGGTGAAGCAGCAGGGCCAGACAGCATTCCAGCGGAAGCACTGAGAGCAGAAGTAGCAGTAACTGTGAAGATACTCCACATTCTCTTCAGCAAAATTTGGGATGAAGGACAAGTACCAACGGACTGGAAAGAAGAAAACCTGATCAATATATCAAAGAAAGGCGATCTCAGAAAGTGTGAGTACTACAGAGGCATCAATCTTCTCTCAATACTAGGAAAAGTCTTCAACAGTGTGTTGGTAAACAGAGTGAAGGACTCCGTAGATGCCCAACTTCGAGACCAATAGGCAGGATTCCGTGAGAATAGATCGTGTACAGACCAAATCGCAACACTACGAACCATTATGGAACAATCAATTGAACAGAATACATCACTCTACATCAACTTCTTTGACTAAGAAGAAGCATTTGACAGCGTGGACAGAACAACATCATGGAAACTTCTTCGACACTATGGCGTGCCTCAGAAGATAGTCAATATTATACAGAATTCCTATGATGGATTAAACTGCAGAATCATGCATGTGGGACAGCTTACAGACTCATTCGAAGTAAAGACCGGTGTCAGGCAAGGTTTCTTACTCTCACTCCTTCTCTCTCCTGGTGATCGACTAGCTTATGAAGACGTCAATATCTGAAGGGAAACACGGGATACAATGGACATCTAGGATGCAGCTGGACGATCTAGACTTCGCAGATGATCTGGCCCTTCTATCCCAAACGCAACATTAAATGCAGTAGAAAACGACCAGTGTAGCAGCAGCCTCAGCAGCAGTAGGTCTCAACATACACAAAAGGAAAATCACGATTCTCCAATGTAACACAGCATGCATCAATCTAATCACAATTGACGGAGAAGCTTTGAAGGATGCAATAACCTTTACACATTCAAGCAGCATCACTGATGAACACGGTGGATCTGATGCAGATGTGAATGAGCGGATGGGCAAAGCAAGAGCAGCACATTTACAACTCAAGAACATCTCGAACTCAAAACAATTGTCTGGCAACCAACTACAAAGTCAGAATTTTCAGTACAAATGTCAAGGCAGTCCTACTGTATGGACCGGAAACTTGGAGAACTACGAAAGCCATCATCCAGAAGATACGAGTGTTTATTAACATTTGTCTATGCAAAACATTTCGGATCCGTTGGCCAGACACTATCAGCAACAACCTGCTGTGAAAGAGAACAAGCCATATTCCAGCGGAGGAAGAAATCAGGAAGAAGCGCTGGAAGTGGATAGGACAAGCATTGAGTAAAGCACCCGAATTCGTCACAAGACAAGCTTTCACTTGCAGTCCTCAAGGCCAATAGAAAAGAGGTAGACCAAAGAACACGTTACGTCGAGAAATGTAGACAGACATGTTAAGAATGAACAAGAATTGGATAGAACTAGATTGAAAGCCCAGGACAGAGTGGGTTGGAAAATACTGATCAGCGGCGTTTGCTTCACTGGGAGTAACAGGCGTAAGTAAGTAAGTAAGACTACGTAGTCTATAAGATCTTTCTTGTAAGTTTCATCAGTATCTTCACTGACTCGTTCGATCGTGACCATCAGCACTGTTACGTCTAGTATTTCTAAAAACATGGTTGTGCTGGGAGGACAGTAAGACATTTGACTCAAAAAGCAAGAGGTTATAAAGAGTGATCTCGCCTGCATGACCGAGCCATGACATTTTAATTCATTGTTGCCGCCTTCACCATTTCCTCCTTGTGTTAGTGTTGCATGTTGAATGTAAATCTCAGTAATTATGCGCTCAGTTCGAAGGTCGTGTGGTTAGGGACCAATACCACTACACTTTCAGTTTGATCTAAACGTTGTAGTCTTGACCAAAATATGGCTATCGCCTGACATCACTGATGACGAAGTGAGCTCGTGGAGCATAACACTTTTCCGATGCAATGGGGCACGCAAAACTAGAGGTGAAGACCGATCACTCCGGAGCCGTAACACAACACACAACCAAGGTGACGGAGTCTTGCTGGTGTTGCTCTAATGCCAGAGGAATAATTTACTTGACTAGAGGACTGTACTGGACCTCTACAGGTTCCAACGCCCAATAGAATTGGGTAATCTAGGCAGTAATACAACTACTGAAGCTGGAGTTTGACAAAATGCTACCAGCTTGAGACTTCAGCACTGTCTCTTAATCTCAGAAAGCATGGTTTAACTCCTACATAGTAGTTCCATATACGGCTTGCTGCAACCACTAAAAGTCCATGACTAACTGAATTTGTGGGTGGTGCCACAAGATGGAGTAAGAACGAGAAACCTTTATTCAAAATAATATCTTACTTAATGTACTCCAGGCAAAACAGGCTGATGGAAAAAGAAGATCTTGGGTTAAGTGAGGCACAAAACCCTCGCTATAAGCTGGAGGGAGAGTTTGGGACAACTGGATTGTTTACCTCAACAACTTCAAGAGCAATGTTCACTTATCACTAAGTTACTAATCAGTGCAAACTTTTGGAGCTACAGAAGATATTTCTGGATCAAGCTGTAGCCAAAATACAAACTAAACCGAAATATAAGCATAGGTTGATGACTTAAAGAAAAACTACAAATCAGAAGGTCTGTGTTCTCAAAAGACCTAGTGGTGAGGGTTTTATCAACTTTGAAGTAGCAGAAATTTTCAGTGACAACTTCGCTGGTCAGTCAAATCAGAAATCTACAAGAGCGGAACATCCCTCAACTCTAGTGCCAGCTGATAACCTGGAGAATACTCAACTAACTCTTGGGTTAGTATTAAAAATTCTAAAGTACCTGGGCTCAAGAAAGTTATCAGGATGTGACTACACCCGACCTACAATACTGAAGCAGTGATGAAAAGCAGTCGGTTCACCAGTATGAGATCTGTTAAGACACCCAATAGAGTCATACCAACTCCTAAGATGACGGAAACAGGTTACTTCATCTCCAATCTTAAAAGGAGAGGGTAGGAAAGACCAAGCCTGCTGAAGGCCAGTCGCATCACCCCTAGCACTGTAGAAGAAAATGGAAGAACAAATCATTAGAAGCAAACAAGAGGGTACATGGATAATACAACATTCTTCATGAGGTTCAACAGGGGATTGGGAAAAGCAGCCTATGCCCATCCAGTCTTCTTGTAGTAAAAGACTGCTACACGACCTGCTGGGATCAAATGACACCGGTTGATGTAATGTTCCTTGATTTTATAAAAGGCTTTGACCAGTTACCTCGTGTACTTTTCATAGCCTAGGTTGGAAAGATGGGTTTCACTGACCTACCTCTATCTTCGCTGCGAAACAACCTAGAGAACAGGATGTCTCGTACCAGCGTAAATAGCTCGGCGGCACCAATCTATACAGACGACGCAAAATCTTGGAGGTTCGTAAAATGATAAAAGAGTTTACTCGAGATTCTGAAGGACGTTACAATAATAGAGGAGTGGGCAATTGATAATGGGCTAATACTTAGTCTGTGGAAATGTTATGTCATAAGAAATAAACGACTTAAGTCCTCTTCCGCTCCCGATCGTATTCTTAGGGCGCGGTCTCAGGTTAGTAACGCTGGAGAGCCTGAAGACCAACCCAAAGTACAAGGGGGATGCAGCCAAGACAAATACAACCCTTCTGTTCCTAGACTAACTCACTTGAACGACAAGATATACAAATAGCTGCAAAACTGACTACAGCTAGTGCAGTTGAGTGACTAGACTACCACCACCCACCGGACATTACCAAATACCGGAAACCGTACCAAAGCAATAGAAAGCGAGGTAAAATGAATCAATCCATTTATACAAGATCTTGGCAAAGATATTGGATATATATAGTTGTACCAATTCGTTCTGTACTATCAAGTTTGTGGGACTGATATTTACCCTTTGCTATATAGTGAATTAGAAAACATTCGGATGGTTGACACACGTTTTATTACGCAACACAGTAAGAAAGCGGAAAGAGAATCTGCCACAGAAAACAAAAAGA